TCCGGAACCGGCCAACGCCTACCACGGGAATGTCGTTTCCCTGGTAGTCTCTCAGGTGTACGCGGTGAGAGTCGAGTTGCCTTTTGGACACTCTGGGTACCAGTCTTTTGATGGTGCTCCATGACACGATGGACAGGGCAGACCCGGTGTCGATCTCCATGTCACATGGAGCTCCTTCAATGAGCACCGTGACGTTCAGCTTGCGTCGCGTAGGCGAGTCGGTTTGGCCAATCGTGGTTCCAGACGGGCAGCGGCAGTTGGTGAGAGCGAAACAACTTCCCTTGGCAGACTGGAGTGAAGACTTGGACTTGCGAGTCGATGAAGGGGGGGTGTCAGACGGAGCCGATCGGCAGACCTTAGCGATGTGGCCCCTTCTGGAACACTTCCTACAGATGGCGTCTCTGAATCGACACTTGGCACGGGAATGGTTGCCTCCGCAGCCAGCACATTCCGGTTGGCCCTTGGACTTCTGTTGGAACTTCCTGCGCTCCCGCTTTGTCTGGTGCACGTCATCGTCTTCACTGGAGGATGCCTCCTCACTGCTGGCCTCTTCATGATGCACCGGAACTGGCTCCCTAGCAAGACGCGGGCTGCTGGACTTGCGGATCTCCTGGGCGGAGCGTTCAGCAGCTTCTGAGGCCACAGCCTCCTCAATGGCTTTCTGTAGCGTGAGGTCTGGCTTGGCTAGGAGGCGCCGTTGCAGATGGATGTCCCGGACCCCGCAGACGATTCGATCCATCAGGGCATCGTCTAAGTCTCGGAACTCACAGTGCATTGCAGCCTGTCGCAGGGCGGTGGTGTAGTTGTTGATTGACTCCCCCTCTGCCTGGTTCCGGTGGTAGAACGCATGGCGGGCAGCAATCTTGGACGGCTTTGGTGCGTAGTGGTTGCGGAGCTTCTCTTGGATCGTGTCCCATGGTGTTGCCTGGACTGCTTCAGGCGCAACCAATGCTCGGGCCGTCTCAAACACCTCAGGCCCACAGAGGCTGAGGAATAGGCCCCGCTTCCGATCCTTTGATACTGCTGTCAGCTCGTTGGCTTGGAGGTAGCAGTCGAACCGAGCGAGGTAGGAGTCCCATGATTCAGAGGCTGGCGCAAACGGCGGTAGAGGCACAAGTGAAGCCATGATTCCGATGCCGGCGTGAAGGGCGATGGATGGAACACAGTGCTCTAGCCAGAACAGTCAGCTCTGAATTGGTTCTGCCCAGTGATTTCGCTCAGTGATTTCGCTCTGTGATTCAGCTCAGTGATTCAGCTCAGTTCAGAGGCTGGCCGCATCTGGCTGTGCTCTGATGTCCATCAATCCCACCTTCGTCGCCAGTGTTAAGTCGTGGGTTGACATAGCAGCCGGCACAGCGATTTCTTCAAGTAGCTCTTTATTATGGTAAGCTGGAATAGAACTGACTGCGAACAGCTCAGCCGGCCTGTATTTATAGGCAGCCGGCTGTCAACATTGTAACCACAACAGCCCAGAGTTCCCGCCTGAAATAACTGCCGCGGACCTGAGTGAAAACTATCTACAGACCTGAGTGAAAACTATATACAGTATCCCCCTGTTGGCCCAGGGTGAAACTACACTACATAACACCATTGCTAATAAAATAACAGTGCCGAGCATCTGTTTTTAGCTACACATTGTGAAAACAATCCATTCTTTTTTAATCCTGTCGTATCTCTCAGCACTGTTCCCATTCAGTAGAAATGAGGGTGGAGAATTGTGTTTGTTTTTCTTTGTTTTGGAGAAAAACCCGAACAACCTTACTGGAAACTTGTGACAGTCATTGGTGTCTGTCTATCTACTTTTTATTAACAGAACTGAGAATCTAACCTGCAGCTCATTGGGAATTATGACAACCTTCCGTTTTGTCAGCAGAAGTCATGATCCCCAAGCCACTGAAGGCAGATTACCTGGATTTCATCCAACAGCTACCCAGTTCACAGAATAGTTAAACTGGGGCATGTGGACTTAAGCTGATTTTGTTTAGTTAGCTTTACAGAGACTTTAACTAAACCAAGCTAAATCCATGGACTCTCTATGCTTCTTGGTGGTGGATCAGGTTGCCTGCTTCCCCAACGTAACTGGCAAAGAGTTCTCTTGCTGTTACTAAGCCACGTGTACAAATACTGCGGCTGTGATCTGGTCGCTCTATTCCACACACTGAACCCCTCATGCACAACGTTTCCCCATTGTCCTCAACAAGACAGACGTTGTAGGAAGCAAGCAGGACCTGCAACAAAATGGCACCATCTGGAGCACTACCGGAATGTTCAGGGTTTGAACCAATCCTTTTCTAGGATACTCCAATACTCCTTCCCCAGTAGTCAATCAACATTCTGTGCCCACTGAGCATGCTCAGTCCTCACTGATCTATTTGGGATCCCTGCCTCCCTTTAAGGTTTCTTTCTAAAGGGCTTTGCTTTTTTACTTTTGCACATCTTGGGGTTCCCCATAGCCTGCTGTTCCCTCACTTATGTATGTGATTGGAGCTGCTTTGGATCTAGGGTGGTCTTCAAGGCAGAGGGCCTTCTCAGCAGTGGCCCCCACCCTGTGGAACACTCTCCCATCAGATGTCAAAGAAAAAACAGCTATCTGATTTTTAGAAGACATCTGAAGGCAACCCTATTTAGGGAAGTTTTTAATGTTTGATGTTTTATCGTGTTTTTAATATTCTGTTGGGACCAACCTAGAGTGGCTGGAGAAACCCAGCCAGATGGGTGGGGTATTATTATTATTATTATTATTATTATTATTATTATTTGACTATGTTTGACTCAGAGTAGGCACACTGAAATTCATGAACATAACTAAGGTTCATTAACTTCAATTGGTCTACACCGAGTCGCCTTGCATACAACCCCAGAAGCATCCATTCTCAGAGAGTGAATTTGCTATTAGCATTGTATGGGGCAGACCCCAGTCCCTGAACAGTAAGAGACTGCAAAGGTCTCTACACATACTGTGGGTTATTATCTCCACAGAATGAAGGTCATTTGAGATTCCAGTGTCCTTGTAATATATACAGTTCTGTTTGCACATATATACAGGATAAGTGGTTCACAGCACTAGCACTCCAACAGGTACTGGTCCCCATTACATTTTGAGGGCCACAATCCCTCCCTTTCCCCCCAGATTCCAGTTACCAATCTGACTACTCCATCCACAGACCCACAACATCACCTTCAGCCAGGGGAGGGGGAGGGGGGAAAGTGTGTCCTCCTCAGCCTACCTTCTGGAAAGGTCTCCATCTCTTAGTTCCTATGCACCATTTTGACCCCAGTTTAGCACAACAAAGGTAATATTTAACATGCTTGGCTAAAGCCATTCACTTAACCAAAAATTGGTTTGGCCTCTTTTAGCAGCCTCTCTTTCTGTAGAATGCAACCCCCTACCTAAGAGATGGGGTGGGGTTTGAAGGGGACCCAGAATGACATCTAGAGACTATATAGGATATCTGTGGACCATTCTCATTTTCTCTAATATGAAATCCCTGAATGTGCAAATAATGTTTCTAGGTGGCAGCAGACGACACACACTGTTCTACAATAGCTTTCAGTGCAAATCCCAGTGCCTTGAGAAGTCTGCATGAACTTCTTTGAAATGCTGCCTTTAAAAACAGTGAATGGTTTTGTTTCACATATAAATCCTCCTGATTTTAGCTGGGTGACCTGCTGAAGAACAAGTGATGTTCAAATAAGTAACACAATCTGCATAGGGAAGGGAGAGAAGACGTGGCTTATAATTGAAAGAACTTGAAACGTATCCATTTTCTACAAATACATGTGGAAAGAGTAACATTTCACATTTTAAATCTCGGCTCCTTGTTGCTTTACATTCCAAGGATTGATCTTCCAATGGATCACCACAACCTTTTCTGTTCTGTCTGTTGGAAAGCTACTGCACTGCTATACCCCTTTTTGGAAATCTTTCATTAAAAGCAACTGTTTAAAGAGGTTATCCAGACCCAGGGCCTTTCTTTTAGTGAAGTGGGCGGTGTGTAATAATCCAGATACAAAGCCAAACTGTGGCATGACGTCTTGGGTGGTGGTGTGGGGAGATAAATGCCCCATTCTCAAGGTCACTAGAACAGTTCTTTAACTGGTAGGTTTCAACTGGATACTTCAGCATTGTTTACTTGGAAACTCCCGCTTGGACTACTGCAATGCGCTCTACGTGGGGCTACCTCTGAAGGTGACCTGGAAACTACAACTAATCCAGAATGCGGCAGCTAGACTGGTGACTGGGGGCGGCCGCCGAGACCACATAACACCGGTCTTGAAAGACCTACATTGGCTCCCAGTACGTTTCCGAGCACAATTCAAGGTGTTGGTGTTGACCTTTAAAGCCCTAAACGGCCTCGGCCCAGTATACCTGAAGGAGCGTCTCCACCCCCTTCGTTCTGCCCAGACGCTGAGGTTCAGCGCCGAGGGCCTTCTGGTGGTTCCCTCATTGTGAGAAGCAAAGCTACAGGGAACCAGGCAGAGGGCCTTCTCGATAGTGCCGCTCACCCTGTGGAACGCCCTCCCATCAGATGTCAAAGAGATAAACTACCTGACATTCAGAAGACATCTTAAGGCAGCCCTGTTCAGGGAAGTTTTTAATGTGTGACATTTTAGTGTATTTTTGGTCTTTGTGGAAGCTGCCCAGAATGGCTTGGGAAACTCAGCCAGATGGGTGGGGTACAAATAAATTATTATTATTATTATTATTATTATTATTATTATTATTATTATTACTACTACTACTATTACTATTACTATTACTATTATTGGAACAGTATTCCAAGATATAGATGGGTGTGACACACAAAGAGAGAAAAATGAAAAATGATGCATTTATATAATCAGTCAATCAATCAGTCACCTGATAGCAGAGGAGCGATGTGGGGCAAGTGGGCACAGCTAGAGGGAAATGGCCATATGGGGCAAATTAGGGCCCCTACCAGGCTTTAGATTTCCAATGCCTGCTTCAGAACAACTAAACTTGAGAGTCAATTCATCAACAGTTCCATTTATTTCAATAACATTTAAAGCAGATAAGTTGTACAAACGTTTTTAGCATATATATGAGTGCTTTCAGTTATTGAACTGTAGCATTTAAAATCCACAGTAATGAAATATCTTTATCAATACGAACCAAAAGATCACAAAAATAGCGAGCAAGCTTTTGAGTTGGGTAGCATTACCTAGTGGCTGGCGTTTGGAATGGGGGTAAATTACACCAACATAATCTGCCCTAGGCACAAATTATGCTGGTTTCCTATAGCTTGGATTGCTCTGTAAGTCTCACTGTCTTCAAAAGGATTTACTCCCAGGTAAGTGAGAATAGGTAAGTGAGAATAGGTAAGTGAGAATAGGATTGCAGCCCAACTTTCCTAAATCTCTTAGTTCTAATTATGCCCTGAACTATAATCTGGAAATATATGTATGTAAATCATAAATATAAATCCTCTGCATTTTTATGCAATCTGTTTTGTAGATTTCACAGAGGAAATATAGATGAAGTAGCTCTATTCAAAATCAATTCCAAGATTGATTTTGCTCCAGGTTTAGACTAACCTTTTGTTGTAGGCACTGGAGCAGGCTTTTGCCATTCAACAGATCCCTATGGCCCCTTCTCTCTCTGCTGTGTGCATGATATATAGAACCAGAATTCCCAGCGTTGGCCTCAGAAAAGTGGTTGCTGGAAGATAAATGGTTCCTTCCATTTCAGCCTGAATGTGCTTGATGAGTACAAGGCAGGGAGATGCCAGCCCTTTGCCTCCTAATCAATGCCATGTGATCAACTATGTATAGGGTTGATAAATGATAGTCAGGACAAGTACAAAAAGCTTTTCTAATATCTTCAGCTCAAAAACTCATATTCATTTCAATAAGGCAGAGATGAAGAACCTGCAATCCAGCCCTAATACTTCATCCAGGATTGTTGTTTTGGAGTTGGGGCATGTAATATGTGAATCTCCCATCTTCAAATGCAGCCTTCCAACCTCTTTGGAAATCCTTCCAAAGTTGCATTATTTTCCTTTCCAGAAAACTATTTTTCCCTGCATTAAAAATGCTGGCCAACTTCATATATAGAAAAGTACTTTTGAGGACAGGGTTGGGGGATAATATTGTCACCTTTGTTATACATACATGCAAATTAATTTTCATAAAGTAGTTCTTTTGAAAGATCACACATTCCAGTTACATAACAAGGCGTAGCTGAGAGGTTATTGAATCTGCTTTCATTAAATGGCTGTGTGAGTAGGGATGGGGGAGAAACAGAACTCACATTTAAAGGTGAACCTACCTAATTCATGCATTCTGAAAGAATACAGGAACTGATACACAGCCAGCCTTTGAAAGCCACATTTCTGAGAATTTTCTGATGTAGATCTCCAGCCAAGTGGTGTCTACAGAAACGTATACATGACTGGGGTAAAGTGTGCCTAGAAATGTATATATTAGCAAATATAATGCACGAAGATGTCATATTAGCAGTAATTTGTAAAAAAAAAAGGATATATTAGTCAAAACTGCATACAAAGATGTGTGTAGTGGAAGAAATTCATTCAAAAATACTGATGACAACTTTTTTCTTTTCTTTTTGCAAACTGATGTGGAGAACCAAACTGGAAAACTTGACAGATTTGCCCATCCTTATGTATGAGGATGTGGAGAGAGGATCACTTTTGGCGGTGTTTAGGGCTGGCGTTCCACTGAAGAAGCTGAACATCATTTTCTGATTTACAAGGCAAAGGTTCTCAGGTAGCTGGAGATTGATTCTAAGAGAGAAGCCTGTTGCTTCCTTTGCCAGCACTGGTGGACCACACTTCCATTGCTCAAGCTGGACAAGAAGAAAAAAGAGAACAGTTATTCTTGGTGTAAAAAGCTTCAGGAGAAGGCTAGTGTGCTCATATCCTGCTTATGGGCTTCCCATAGACTTCCGATTGGCCATTGTGGGTGACAGAATAGAGGACTAGATGGGCCTACAGTCTGATCCAGTTTTTCTTCTGTATCCAACAAGTGTGCAAATGGCTCCAGAAATATACAGGAACGGCAGTTCTGAGAGCCGGTGTGATGCAGTATTGCAGATATTAATATTGTACAACTTGAAACAGCTGGATGCATAAAAACTGAATCCTTTTGGAATAAAAATTGTCCAGACCCAGAAATTTTATTCAAAGCTTTACTAACCAGAACCTTTTCAAAACAGGTGCAAAAACCATCAATGATGCACCCAGAACCTGTATAAAGGATATACATATTCAAGCATAGGTTCTTCTTCTTAGATATATAAATAACATAATTAGGATCAGAGCAAAGGTCAAAACTCTGTCTCTCCCATAGCTAGCATTAGTCTGCATCCAGCCTAAGAGCATGCAGCTGCTGGAGAGGCATCTTATCACATCCTTCTCTCTCTGTGCCTGGGAACAAAAAAACCTTTCAAAATGGAGATTTGCAATTGAATACCTTAATCACATGTTTCAAGGTTAAACACTCACATGACTGCTAGCAGAGAACATCAAGTGTTAATTATCAACTCAGCTAGACACTCAGAGGGCCCTCTTCTAGTTTAGTATACTCCAATGGAATTCTCCAATGTTAAACCCTTAGCAACATACAGGCATTCTCCATTTCAGTGTGCAATTATACTTAACATAAGGGGTGGTGCCAGAAGAGTGGAGATTTGGGTGAGCTGGAGAGGATAGGCAAGGGGGTGGGTGAGGTGTAAAGACAGATGGGTGGAAGGGGAAAGGGATAGGTGGGGTTGGCAACTCAAGTGAGCAGTGGCAGTAGCCTCAAGTTCTTTGGTTTTTAATGCAAAGTCACATGGAAAAGTGAAGAAATGAAGATGAGAAATTGAAAGGAGCTGAAATTGACAGATTCAGCCATCCCTACTTTTAAGGCAGCCATTTCTCAGAAGTCGCTTCTCATGTGGTTCCAAGTAAGGATTGTGATGGTACTCAAACTACGCAGACAACTGAAGAATCTGACCTGAATAGCTTTGCTTATCTTTCCTTTTGCTATACTTTCGAGGTAAAGACATTCCCCAAAGATAAAGAAAATCTACTCACAGGGTTCTGAAAGGCAGAAATAATCAAGATCTTTCATATCACAGTCTGTTCCATCAGTGGGTCTGCCTTCACTGTTGTCATCACATGCCATTACAATGAACTACAAAACAGGCAATGTGCACATGTGAGTTTGTATAGGCAAATAATAATAATAATTTTTATTTATACCCTGCCCTACCCAACCAAGGCAGCTAACACCCGATATAAAAACAAATTAATTGAAATACAACTGAAAAACAAGATTAAAATACAACATTAAAACATTTAAATATTAAAATACAGCCTCATTTCAATGAAAACTTTATTGCAAGCTTTACTGAAATGAAGGGGACTCATTCATTTCAATATGGCAGAGATAAGAGCTCTCCAGATGTTGGACTACAATCCCTATCCTCCCTGGCCAAGCTGGCTAGAGATGATGGAAGTTGGAGTGTGGCAGCATATGGACTGCCATTTATTCAGCCATCCATTCAGCATATGAAGAGTCACAGGTTCTCCAGGTTTCCAGTTTTTTAAAATTATTATTATTATCATTTCACGGACTTACTTCAGGGCATAGCCACAAAAACTTAAATATGAATACTCTTCTACCAAAAAAAAATATCTCTACTTCTTATCCATTTTATTGTATACCTGAAGATCTTCCTACTGACCCAATGATGAGGCTAGACTAACATAATTTCGATCCTGCCAACTGCTGCTAATAATTTCACTATCAAGTAAATCAACACAGCAGAGAGAAAATCAACAGTGAAAAATACATCACAGCAGATTAAGTTAGATTTGATTTTATTGACTCACTCCACTGTTTAGATGTTTAATTAACCCTCATACTCAATGACAATTATATTACTAGCCAAGATTAACTGCAGCAGGAACCACTGCAAAGGGCAGCCTTATTCAGCGATAACAAACAGCTTGACGTGAACAAGGTGGTTGCAATTCTAATACATCATTCTGGTTCTAGAAGTTCTGGATGAGATGACAAATTAGGTGTTTTGCCTATTGCCTCAAATAACGCAGGTCATAAAATAAAACCTTTGGTGCAAAATGCAGCATTAAGGCACCTTTATTCTGTCAGGGTGGTATAAAACTGGCCTCCATGTAAAAGTTAACAAGGAACATGAGGTGATCTCATCAGCTCATTTATCATTCTCTTTGTTTCACTCCTCAGCTGCCGAAATAAATTCAAAGCTGCTTCTGATGCAAAGGCATTTCATCCCTTCCAAACCAAACATCCCTAGGTAGCACGCAGGATCTGTGAGCTGCAATTTGGTACCAACTTGAGCATGCTTCGGACTCCTGGACTTGGGTGGCAAGCAAGCATGCCTAACTGGTTTCAGGATTGCAGGCTCGGTCTCTAAGAAACGAAACCCGTTTACATTTCTGCTGTGAGAATCAGGCGTGTCATCACATCGGTATTCCTTAATTTAGAACACATCCCCTCCAACTGTTGTGTGCCGAGCTAACAATAACACTGTCTCCTGCCTGCAACGCACCCAGGCAGCTGTGAACTTAGAAGGATAACATAACAATGAGGTAAGAGGGACTGGGGTTCATAGCTAAGCACTTGATGACCCCAGCAGTTATTTAATATATTTAAGATGTGAATTATTTGATGGATAATCTCAAGTGGATCCCTAATGCCCTTTGATCCTTTCTCCTTCTCTCACCACTCCACGTGTTAATATAGAATTACCAGTGGCTCGTTGCTGGGGAGCTTCATGTTCCTGCTGTCGGCACTGCTGCCGCTAGTATCTTGTGTTGATTCTATGTATGGCTCCTTCTTGAAAAGCCTCCTGTGTCTACTGAAAAAGAGAAAGGAGCCAAGGAAATAAAACGCCCTCAGGGGAAAGGGATACTGGCCACACAACACAACTCAAACACTTTGGCAGCTGAGCTTCATTTCATCACTACCAGGAACCAATGTAGTCTAGCATTGCTCTTCAGCTGATGAGTCGGCACTCAGTACTGCAGGGGTAGCCAATGGGCCTCCAGATGTTGGCGGACTACAACTCCCATCAGCCCCAGTTCAGAGATGATGGGAGCTGTAGTGCAGCGGCATCTGTAGGGCACCACAAGCTGGGACACAATTCAACCTACAGTTAGATGCAAAACTGGTTGCTCTCTGCAGTGGTCATCCCCCTGCCAGAAGCCTGCCACTAATTTTCCTCCACCTTCAAATGCCATACCCTTCCATATGAATCTCTGGGGAATGCTGTCCATATCCCCAAATGTTGGCCAAACTGTGGGATATAAAATTTGGGAGGCTGGACTCTTGAATTCAGCACACTTTCCCCCATAAAAAACCACCTGAGTGTAGCGCCATTTAGCTAGCTATGGATTACACTGACACAGAGGCTCATCCTTCCAAAGCCTACTGAGTTAATTTTTTGAATGTGCATCCTTAAACAGCACCATGACCACACAAGATGGAGCTTTAGCAGGCTTAGTATAAACCATTTTTTTTTTAGAAGAAGAAAACAAGCTAAGGCACCCCAACGAGGACTGAAGATGCTCACTGCCCACAGAATGCTGGCTAATTATTTCTGGGGAACCTGGAAGCAGGAGTATCCTTAAAGATGGCATGTCTGAACAAGAGCATTCCACATGGCAAACGTTGGTTGCAGTACCCTCCTGTAAATGTTCTGAATAGGTAAATACAGGGAAGTTGGCGGGGTGTGTGTGTGTATGTTTGTAGGTCTTGGTCTTTAAAAAGTCTTATCCCAGCAGCTCATTTTTGATTCCTGCAAGCCTCACATTAAGGGGCAAGATGAGTTTATGTTTTATGGATGAAGGGAAGGACTTTTACTGACCTGCTCATGGAACTTAATCGATAGGTCTTAAAATACAGCAGAGTAGGAGCAAAAATGAAATAGCAATCCCAATCCAAATATTGGTTTCTGGACTCCAGTTAAAGGGGGATTTAGATCAGTGGTTTCATTTTGATCTAGTTAGGCTACTAATAGCTGTAGTACAAACCCAGCCGAGCATGTAATTGAAAACTTGCTTTCAAGATAAACAGTTATATTGATCAAAACCATTTGGTAAAGGAGGAAAGTAAATCAGGGCAAAACAATGACTTTTTGTTTTTGTTTCTAAGTGAGAACAGGTTGCAGAAGGAGAAAGAAGAAACAAGAGTGCATGAATCAAGGCACCCAAATTTATATATACTGTATATATATATATTCTCAACAATATTTCCAGTGTTGTTAAAATGACATTTTTAGTGCTAGTTCACCAACAAATTTAGGAGCCTCAGTGTCATGTAATGATTCCAAGTATATCACTCAGGTTGTTGGGAAGTGGTGAAAGCAAAATAATCAGTTTCCGTTACAGAACTCTAAAACCAGGCCACAGAATCTATGAGGCACGAAAGCAGCACTATGTATCAAAGCAACACATATGTAGTCTAAAATATTCCATATACTTTACATTAGAATAATGCAGTGGGTGACTCAGGGCCACTCTGAACTGATGCATTTTTGGGGTGTATGTCATTGAGGCAATAATAGTGCATTAGTGGTGGACTTTTAATGGACCCTCCAGACAGCATTCCACATTATTAGTTGTGCTGTGATACTTCACCAACCTTATTGCATTATTGCAGCCTATTGCTCACTTAATAGTGATATCCCTGCCTTGAGGTGTTATTGATCTACAACTCCCATCATCCTGGGCCACTGGCTATGCTAGATGGAGCTGGTGGAAATGGCCACAAACAAATCAGAACCAATGCTTGCTAAAGACTGGATATAACCTAACTTCTGGGTAAGCTTTGTGCAAGCAAATCAGGGTGAATGCTCAATAAAGAGGTTGTCTGGAGGGGCACTGTGGCAGGCTTTGCAGATAGTTTTACCTGTAGCAGTAGACAGCGGCAACTCCAAGGAGGAGGGCCAGGAGCAACATGGCCAAGCAAGCTGCAGTGACCATGTTCTGGTTGTTTCGTTGCATCACTTGCTGCTGCTCCCACCACTCCAAGTCACTGAACTGGCAGCGCTCTCCCAGGTAGCCTTTTGGACAGCTGTCAAACGAGGAGACACAGCAGCCAGTAAAGGAGAATACTACACAGATCACCATCATGGTTTAATTCCACCAAATTCAGCCATTCCAGAAACCTTGGATTAGGGTAATCTAAAGCAGTCGAAATCAATGTGGGCTTTGCTAATGGACCCAGGAGGATGTCGACTGCAACCAGTTGAGCACTTTTAAAATGAGGTTCTCTTGAAACCACCAGTAAAGGAAATTAAAATGAGCTATTTCCTGCTGAGCAAAGACACCCTCTGGAGCCAATTTTACTCCAAACTATACTGTGCAGAGAAGCCCAACACAAGCCATGAACAAATAATAAACACCAAGGGTGTTTGCAGATGGATGCTGATTGTGGAAAGGCGCTCCTCATGCTTACACATTTTTTGCCACAGCAGAATTGGCATTAAAATTAGGGCTGTACACAGACACCCTGTGGCCCCTGGATTGAACCAAGCCTACCCCCCACCCTGTGCCAACCTTGGGACCACCTACCCCAGATCTAGTGCCAGATGGATTTGGGGATGAGGCTGCTTAGTTAGAGTTTTTCAAACACTACTTAAACATACAATGAGGAGAACAGAAAGAGTATTATTCACTGCAACTCTTACCCACTGAAGGCTGCTGCTTGCTCACAATTGCCTTCCTTGCAGCAGAAGTGGTTTTAGGGTAAAGGTAAAGGTAAAGGGACCCCTTACCATTAGGTCCAGTCGTGGACGACTCTGGGGTTCTGGTGCTCATCTCACTTTACTGGCTGAGGGAGCCGGCGTACAGCTTCCGGGTCATGTAGCCAGCATGACTAAGCGGCCTCTGGCGAACCAGAGCAGCACATGGAAACACCGTTTACCTTCCTGCCGGAGTGGTACCTATTTATCTACTTGCACTTTGTGCTTTTGAACTGCTAGGTTGGCAGGAGCTGGGACTGAACAACAGGAGCTCACCCCGTCATCGGGATTCGAACCGCTGACCTTCTGATCAGCAAGCCCTAGGCTCTGTGGTTTAGACCACAGCACCACCTGCGTCCATGTAGCTGAACTACTCATTTGTAATATTAAGCTCCCATCTAGAAGCACCCTCACTTTTGTTGAGGTCTGTAAATTCATCATGCCTTCCATCTAGCGGTACCACCACACACATCTGAAGAATTAAGTCAGCTTTACAAGATAGTTTATATCACTAGGCTAGGAACATATATATGCTGATATCATGCCATCTGCTCTGTAAGAATGGCATAACATGAGCCATATTAATAACTTTATATCTCAGGTATGCTTCCCAAAGTAAGTCAGAAACTATGTAGTTTTGTCTACTTGAAACATATGGCAGAAGAGTGTGAGTGTGTGTGCGCGCACTCGTACATACGTGCGCGCATTTCCTGCTAGGTTTTCTGTGGGACCAAGAATGTGCATGTGTTGGTGAAGAATGGTGAAACACTGCCACCTAGTGTGAATTTATTTTCAAAAAATTGACTAACATATTTATTATAGCAGAATCTTTCCATTTAATCAGATGCATGAAGTGTCATCCTGAGCTGCAAGCATAGGAGCAGGGGTGAATTGTAAACAGGGAGGTCAGAATGAAAGGAAATTCAGAAATTACTGGAAGTGAATTAAGTTCTTAACTGTTGTTGGTGATATCACACATCTTGACATCGTTAAGATGATTAACTTGGGAGGGGGTTCTCATGGAGAATGGACATATAATCATTTCATGAAGAGGGAATTGTGTGCCTCTCTTGGTCAATATCTCTGCTGAATTCTGTACATGAAAAAAAGAGTGAAAAGCAGACCTCCCTTCTTCCTGCTGCTTGAATGATCACAATTTCCTCTTCACAGAAGAATTATGTGCTTATTCTCCATGAGGTTTGGTGAATGTGCCCAATGGCTGACTGTTATGGGCTCAAATTATGGTCCCCTATGCCTCTGCTAAACACTAGTATATTATTAACATGTTCAGCAACACTGTTTAACCTAGATGTTATTCCACTGAGCCCCAACCAAAATATTATATGTCATGAACGAAAGAATTCCCACTGCAACAAGTAGAAAACCCACAGCAGGGCCGGCCCTGCCATTAGGCAGAGTGAGAGGCCTCAGGTAGCCAATTTGGGATATCATGAAAGGGCAGCAAATTGTTAGTTATTTAATGTGTTATTATGGTTGTATTTTTACTGCCATGGAGAAAGTGAGGTGCTTGTGGGATTTTCAGAATAACTCGACTGGCCTATGATACTTGCAGGATGGGGGCAACAAAATGTCTTGGGCTGCCCTTGCAGCACTAGAGTTCTCCACTTACTTGCATGCAAAAGCTTGGAGATCAAAAAAATAAACACAAACTCCCTCATGGAGACAGTAAGATGGAGGGCAGCCAGCAGAACTTTCTTGCTCAGATACGGTGGACTCATCATGTGTTGCAGTGGTAGGAGACATGGCAGGTTCTGAAACACAGTATTCCACAATTGTTTTTGTTTTGTTTTTTTAAGAAAAAAAGAGAGAACTGGTTTGGACAAGCTGGTGATTTATACTATTATGCAGGGCAGTTGCGATGTCATGGAAGAGAAGTTCTATGGACCAGTAAATAGACCTAGAGGGCCTTCAAGATAAAAGAAAGACAGAAATATGAGAAATAAAAACATTTTTTTTATTATCTCATACTACTATATTGCAAAATGGATTCCTGAATTCTTTTAATTGTTTATTTTAATTATATTTCAAAGTCTTCTAAGATGACAATGTGATTTATTGTGGCATAGCTTGTTATTTCTACTGTTTGAGTAGTCACATAGAAAAGCAGCACACATGAGAACAAAATACTGAGATACTGGGAGAATAAAAGCCGTATACAACATAGTGATAGAATAATGTCAGACCTAGTTGTGGGGATCAGTGAGTCTGGCTTTAATTGTGAACATGGATTTAAATGTATTCAGACTGTAAATGTCAGCACTCTGAATCTCATGACTATTAAACTAACATAAAATTATTTGCTGAGTATTATGACTGACTCAATACTTTGCTTTCGTTTATATGCATGGTAATGATTTCCAATAAATCTCTGTTGGGTCATTCCCACCCCCACCCCCTTCCATTAGATCTGCCTAACAAAAGGAGAAGAAAATATCCAGTTGACAAGGTGGCAACTGAAGGCTTTACATATAGATGAAGTGTTGAGGCTGCACATAATGAAGAACAGGAAGTGCTCAAAAGGAGAGCATAATCAGAGCTCAGAAGTTTAGCATTGGCACAGAAGGCCCTAAAGGCTAGTTTATATAGGAATTACAAACACACTGATGCATTTTTAAATTTATTTTTTACATCATAATATTTGGATGTGTGTTGCAAGGAAAATCTATCCTCTAATTAGTGGGAGAACCCTAACCCACAAGCTTAGAGGTTGAAAATCAAGGCTTGTGGCAGAGGTGCCTGGTGGTACAGGCTAGAGCAGGGGTTGTCAACCTGGTGCCTACCACACACTAGTGGGCGATTCAGGATTCTAGGTGGGCGGTAGAGGGTTCTATGGCATAAGCTGAATCCTCCTTCCATCAAGCACTGGTGGGCGGTAAGGAAACTTTACCATCAAGAAAGATGCATTAGTGGGCGGTAGGTATAAAAAGGTTGACTACCCCTGGGCTAATCTGTACCACAAAAGGGGAATACTTAGAATGCAAAATCAACAGGTAAAGTTGCATCACTACAACCCTAAGAAAAATAGCTCATGTTCAATTTGGGCTGTCGTTCAGAAGCCTGCCACAAAAATCCCTTTGCAGAATATCAGCAAATCATCCCAGGTGCAAGAGTTTAGAGGACAAGCAGGAACAGCCTCCCATCCACTCACCAGAGCAGCGAAGCCCATCTCCCGTATATCCCACAAGGCACTCACAAAAGTAGCTGCCTTCGGTATTGATACACGTCGACAAGCTCCGATCGCATGTGTCCACGTCGAAAGCACACTCATCAACATCTACAACAGAAACAAGGTTAAAAGCTGCGAGAAGGAATGGAAAGGGGTTTTGGTGGTTTTTGTTTTTTCGGTGAGAACTAGACTGAAAACAGTGTTGACTGCATTAAAAAATGTAACTGTTTTTAAGTCTAGATCAAGCTTTCTCAACCTTGGGTCCCCATTCGTTTTTGAACTATGACTCTCATGATCCCTGACGACTGATATTTGTTTTATTGTATATTGTGGGTCACACCCAACTAAGTCATACTCAGCATGGACCCATTGAAATCAATGGACTTGACTACCCTAACCCCATTGATTTAAATGGGTCTTCTCTTAGTGGGATTCAACTCTACTGTATATGTGGGAGGTTAAGATGTACATCTCCTTGGGAGGGCCAAATAGTCCTTAAAACTTGTATACAAATATCTACATGAATAAAATAATAAAATAAAATAAAATAAAAAACATGTGACACTAAAATTACCATAGCACAGCTGGTCTTCCATGATGAACCCTGCCTGGCATTGACAAGTAGTGCCATCTTCATTCAAAATGCACTGGGCGTTGATATCACATCCCAACCATATGCAATTGTCCCGGTCTGTGGCACAAAACAAAGCATGCTCATTCTCATTGTTCATAGTACATGTGCTCAGAATAGGTAATTACTCAGGACAAATTAATTAGAGCCAACCTTTCAATACACTTCTCACTGAAGAAATTTGCAAAAAGTTCACCCCCTAAAATGATATGCCCTACTAGAACATCCTCCACCACTGAACCTGGATTTCCTCCATTTTCTTGCTATGCAGAAAAATGTCCTCGAATATACTTGCAACAAATTATTTTTGTGTTTAATAGCAGTACCCATGCCCTGGGACTCCCTGCCTTTTAACATCAATAGTTGTTGGTAAGCCTATTCAGGGCACATCTGTCTGAAACCAAATTGCCCATCGTTGGAGGAATCAACCACTTCCTGGAGTTATGAAATGGGGAATTGCAATCTTTACTAGACACCACGATTTCAGCAGTCAGCATCGGTTTCATCTGTTTTGCATCTCCTCTGCTATCTCCGTATGAACTGTGACTCTGAGGATGCTGGTGGCATGTTTTCAGAGCTAATAATGTCTTGTTAGTCAGCCCTCCTGCCTTGGATGTGACTCTGCAACCTGAAACAATAACAAGAAGATTCAAAGCATTTTGAAGTTTAGGTCTAGGGGGGCATCCAGCTGGGGCTCAAGCACTCAGAATGGCTTCTGATCCAGCACATGCCTCCACCAGGAACTTCCAGATGAGAATATGGCAATACACTCTACATGGTGCTGCCCTTGAAGACGACTCGGTGATTTCAGCTGGTCCAAAATGCAGCAGTCAGATCACTGTCGAGGTTGCCACATAACCCCGGTTCTAAAACAGCTGCATTGACTTCTAGTTTGTTTCCAGGCCTAATTGAATGTGCTCACATTAGTGTTTAAGGTCCTAAATGACCAAGGTCCCAAATATCTGAAGGGCTGCCTCTTTCCCTATAGACTTTCTCAGGTGCTAAGATCAGCAGAGAGGGCCCTTTGGGTAGTTCCACCTCCCACAGAAGTTTGGGAGGGTGACCCAGGAGAGGGCATTCTCTGTGGTAGCCCCTAAATTGCTCTTCACACCTGAGATTTGTGTTTTCAGGACCCACCCTGATCCTGTGATAGTACTGTTTTTAATTCTTTAATTTTTAATTGTTATAACATTCCCTGGAACTTCCTACTGAAGGGTGGATAAATTTGTTGTTGGTGTTGGTGATGATGCTTATAGAAGAGTAGATGAGAAAAGGCAGTTTTTGCTGATTCATTCTTTCCTCTTTCCCTACATTCTCCTCCTCCGTATTCTGCAGAGTCCCCCAACTGTATAAAGTTATTTTTCAGAGGCTGCAGGGGGAAAGGGCCATCTTCAAAAGTCCTTTCATGCATGCCAAGTCAATGCATTGGATTTCTTGCATAGCTGACTAGTGATTAGCAAATATCACAGTCGTATATGTAGCTTTCCAATTTATAAAAGAAAGCAAATGCAGCTTGTTTCTGGGATCAAACGGGCTAGTAATAGCTGCAGGGATCTGCATGTTGTGAAATAACACATATTTATTTCACATGGGATTCCTGTGACACTCACAAAATTCAGAATAATAGCAAAAAGATACTTCACACATGGGTTGTTGGTCTCTAGCTCATTTGCCACCAGGGGTTCATTTCTTTCTTCACTATCTACAGCATTCGCCAAATAATACCTAGCCCACCACTCTGCTGCACATTCAGTCAACCTACCTAATAGGCCCTGTTAGCTGGAGCTAATAGGAAAACAGCTGCCTAACCCTTGAAATATACCTGGTTTTGCTAAGGGGTGAATGACGATCAAAGACGAGGGTCTCAACATGCTCCCTCCAAGTCGGACCCTATTTAGGCCAGTCTTCTTGTCCATTCTCAGCAACGAAGGCCTTGCCCAGTCAGAGATCCAAATGTGATCCTCAAACACTGTTATGTCAAATGGATGGCCTAAAAAATATAGATATGTATGCTCTTTATAATCCCATTGCACCAACATACTGAAGAAAACATCAATGAAGCACCTATTCCTCACATTATACTTAACATTATAAATCAAGGGCTGTCATAGATAGGACAAAACCCAAAGGTCACCCGGTTCAACCTCATTTACTGAGGAAGCACATTCAGCAGGGGTTGCCAACCTTTTGAGACCATTGAGTGTGTTTGGAATTTTGAGAACGTGCTCTGGATGCCAATCACAAAATGGCAGACATGGGTGGGGGGCTTGTAAAAAAAAAATGGCTGCCATGGGAGGGCATGGCATGACACATTGCCGAGCCCTGATCCACCACCAAGAACTTATTCAGTGTTTAAAAGCCTCCAAGGAAGGAGATGTCACAAACATGCTGACAGCTTGTTCCATTGTTCAAAGTAACTTTCCTGGAGTTCAAAACTGCTGTTTGTTGCATTATGCACAGCGGATAGGAGGTCAGCTGCTCTTCCTTCTCTGTGGCATTTTTTAGGCTGCTGTTACCTTGCTTTTGCATTTCTGCTTTGTGGCATACCGTGGTTGAGATGGCCAAAGTTAATTGCAGTAGCAGCTAGAGGTAAACTGGACTGAGAACTGAGCTTTTGGTAGTAGATAGGATGAATGATTTTGTATCCCTTTTCCAGCCCTATAATTCTATATCAATCATATTGTTTGAGTTTCGCCATAGACTTAATTCTTTAACTCAGTTGTTGTTGTTTTCATATGACCTAATTCCATGCCAATTTATGAGGGATAAATAAAATCCTTCCTTGTCCAAATCAGGAGCTATACTTTTATGATATATTTTCAGCCCCTCATAACAAGGGCAGCAAAACAAGGAATGCAAAGCCATGCTGTTCTTGCAGTTGATGAGTCTCATTATTCACAGATCACGACACCAAGAGCAACAGTAGATGGCAGTAGCACTGCAGCAAGAATCCTTGCTCTAATCAATCTGCATATTAATGGTACTGCTGAGCCAAAATGGGGCTGTACATTTTCTCCCCTGAAAGAACATGGCCAGTTTTCCAAGATTTTTCACATCTCTTTGTGTGCTAAAGGTAGGAAGGAATACATCCCCATTGCCAAGGCAACCACGCCAATGCTTAAAATTATAGGAGGATAGTGTTGAGGGGGGTCTTGTAGGCCATCCAGCCCAACCCCCTGCTCAAAGCAGGAAACCCAGAACTAAAGCATCTCCAACAGATGGCTGCTCAGTCTCTACCTGAAGATTTCCAGCAAGGGAGAGCTCACCATCCTTCTAGGAAACAGGTTCCAGTGTCAAGGCATTCCTCCTGATGTTCCACCAAAACCCACGCTCCTATAGCTTCCACCCATTTTAACTAGTTCTGCCCTAGTCTTTGCCCCAATACAGTCACAGATTGTTGACTAGTTGGAGCAAAAGGGGAATGGGGATGTGGACTGGGCACATCCAATTGAGAATAATGGTGACAACCCAAGACCTTTGCAGCATAAACTGCTGCCTTCATTTATACTTCCTGAAGTACACCAGTTCATCCTGCTGCATGGCATGGCCAAGCTATGTATCACAGATGGCAGATCCACAGATGCAAATATGAATGTGGATAGTGTACATTTGTTCTCCACTTTCAGTGAAATGTACATCTGGATGTGTGTTCCTATGCATAAGCTCATCCACATACGGCCCAATTAGTCATGAGTAACTGACTACCTGCACAGAAATGGAAAGTTGTGCCAGCTCAGAAAGTCTTGTCATACAAGCACTGACACAGCATAGCAAGCAGGTGATCCTCAATTCAGCTGACAGAGGAATAGGGACATACAGTGGTACCTTGGGTTAAGTACTTAATTCGTTCCAGAGGTCCGTACTTAACCTGAAACTGTTCTTAACCTGAAGCACCACTTTAGCTAATGGGGCCTCCTGCTGCCACTGCACAATTTCTGTTCTCATCCTGAAGCAAAGTTCTTAACCCGAGGTACTATTTCTGGGTTAGCAGACTCTGTAACCTGAAGCGCCTGAAACCTGAAGCATATGTAACCCGAGGTACCACTGTACACATTGTAATACTGTACAATATACTGTAATACTGTACAATATACTGACCCAACTGAATGGCCCAATTGAGCTATTTCATGCCTTTCCTGAAATTATACAACTAGTGCACTGTGAGCACATTGGCAAGACTTTAGGACCTGAGAGACCCTAGTTCTTCAAAGGCCCAGGTGTAACTTTTAAAAAGCCAGTAATTACTAGCTGCACTGTAGATCAACCTATCTGAAAGGGAAACATGAAGTGAGTGGCTAAGTTTATTGTACCAGCCTATCATGTTTTAAAGTGTTCAGTCAGGGCCAGCCAACTCAAAGGCCACCGGAGCACGATTTCTGTTCTCATCCTGAAGCAAAGTTCTTAACCTGAAGCACTATTTCTGGGTTAGCAGAGTCTGTAACCTGAAGCGTATGTAACCTGAGGCGTATGTAATCCGTGGTACCACTGTATTCCCTTATTCCCAACTCAAGTGAGAACAGTGAAACGGCTTTGTTTCTTCAAGAGGCTGGGATAATGCAGTGAGGAAGTTCTTTTCAAGTAGCACTGAAACAAGGAAACAAATCAGGGAAACAATGGCTGTAGGCTGATAAACAAACTGCAAGAAAGAGGTTTCTGTCTGAAACGGCAATGCTTGTAGCAAAAAAGAACAAAATGCCATGAACTTTCAGCTGAGAACTAGTTACTGTATATTTTTAGTTGTCTCTTATAGACCTTTCCATTTTAAAAAAAGGAAAGCCTGTTCCCCTCTCATATTATTACACATTTCTCTTTTCCCTTTGCAAAACTGCAGCTTATTTCTATAGTTAGCTTTGAATATATGTATATTTTCACCCACCCCACCCCAGTTTGCTCAAAGCAGTTCACAATATAGACTGATAACTTCAGTAAAAGCATAGAATAAACATGCAGGTTTCCTGAAACCGGGTTAAGAATTTACTCCTTTTTCAACTGGCATCAATCTGTAGAATTCACAAGGCACTGGTTAACTCAAAAGGTGGCCTTTCACTGATATTTCGATATGTGCAGCATACCAATGCACTGAAACTCTTGCATCTATGGTCAGAAAACTGTCAATCCCAAAGCCTCACCTACATCATTCTGTGTGAGTATTTGCCGTTCAGAACCATCCAGATTTGAAGTCTCAATAGCAGCCTTTTTTGCATCACACCAGTACAGCTTGTCAGCAAAGTAGTCAATCGTTATTCCACTGGGCCAAAGCAAATCGGAATCTACTATAATGAGACGATCAAAGCCTTGTAAGGAAGACCTTTCAATCCGTGGATTAATCCCTACGTCTGTCCAAAATAGTTGCCTTTATTGAAGAAAAAGAGATTTATTTATTTTTTAAAAAATTACTTTCACCTTGCAGTAAAGAGAGAGAGAGAGAGAGAAATACTTAAAACATTGTATACATTACAGGATTTATTGTTGTGGGTGATATAAATGTAAGCAATTATACAGGTAGGTTATTATTTTGTATGTTAAATTCTCTCCCTGATCCTTGAGCTGTGACAAAACAAAACAAAAGTCACATGACAACTTCAACAAGCACATTTCAAGCCACAGTGGCCACCAAGAGAATTATTTTTATTTTATTTTATTTTTACAGAATTTATATAATTTGACTGTTTCATTTTTTTGTAAACTGCTTGGAGGCTATATTTGCAAACATTAGCACTGTCAATAAATGAAGAGCTAAAATACGAATTATTTTTTAAAATGAAATAATGATTATAGTCTACAATAAGCCAAAACCAGAATCATAGAATTGTTGACTTCTACATGTCTGGATAGGCTTGACTGAAGAAAAATGTTTTAAGCAGGTGCCAAAAGGCAGTGAAAGTGGCTGCCTGAGACTAGGGAGTTCCAAAGGAGAGGTGCTGCAACACAAAAATATTTATTTCTTACAAGTGTGGAAGGAATATTATGTAGCACCTATAACTGTGCCAGTTCCGCAGATCAAAACTGTCAATTATGCTTTTCTCGTGATGAGTTCTGCACATGACAGCTGTGAGGAAAGCCTTTGGGTTTAACTGAGGTAGACAAACCCACCCCCACGTGGTTAATTCAACGTTGCCATGCCACTGTAACCCATGGTTAAGCATCTGCTTTGCATGCAGAAGATTCCCTGGTTGAATCCCCAGTATCTCTAGGTAGAACTGGGAATGTTTATGGCCTGAAATCCTGCAAGTCAATGTAGGCAGCGCTGACCCAGATAGACCAATTGGTCTGACTCCTGTGTACACTAACAGTTGACAAGCGATTGCCATAAACCCACAATTATCCTACAAGCTGTGTATGTCAATATGCTTCAGTTTGATGTTGCCTTATTGGAAAAATTGACTCCTTTATCTCCCATGTGAACGTGATTCCCTGTATTAGACCACCACAACCTCAGGTGTCATTCTGGACAGATGCTTTAGGGATAAAAAACCCTTTGAATTATTTTAATGCCTATTTTTATTTCATCCCCCTCTGCAGGGGTGCCAACTTGAATAAAATATTGTGGGGGCCCAGATAAGCCCCGCCCTGCATAATCAATCACATGATGCAGTGCAAAAATGCCATTTGAATGGGAATACTCATCAACTTTGTGGGCAAAGTCTGTGCTCAGCCCCCTCAAATATTTTATTGTGGGGCTCAAAGCCCCCATGGCCTCTAGAAGTTGGCTCCTATGCCTCTCTGGGATCAAAACACTCAGACAAGAGCAGGTTATAAATACTTGGAAAGAAAGAAAGAAATGATCCCTGTTTTGAGTGGCTTAGCTTTGTAGACACACTCCATAAAGGCATTCATGCCAAAACATAAATCTAAATAATAGTTTCACATACTTTGTTCAGTGGTGCATTCTGGGCAGGATTTCGGGGCAGAAGTCCAGAACCCCACTCAGCAGAATGATCATATTATCAACCCCCCAGCCCCACCCAACACAGCAGGGCTAGCTAACCACATTTTCTTTAAATAAAGTTATAAACATTCCCATCTAACGAGCCTGTAAGGCTGCAGTCTTAACCACATCTTCTCAGAAGTAAGTCTCACTGAATTCAATAAGACCTGCTCCTAGGTAAATAGGGCTAGGATTGCAGTCTAAAGAAGACAAAGAAGCCCAAATCAAAAATAATCTAATTGCACTTCTGGCTTTATTCTTTAGTCTGTACTACTCCTGCTGTCAGTTTCAAAGAAAGTTTCACTTCTTACTCAGTGAATGGATGGACAGCAATTCCCCGAGGCTGAGACACGTCTTCCCAGATAATTATTTTCCTCTGCATTCCATTCAGATTGCTACTTTCAATTTGGGACTTCCTGTGTACACATGCAGATAGATTAGTTACTACAGTAATTTATTACCAACAAAATAAATTGTTGCTCTTTTCGTTTGTGGCTACAGTCAATTCACGTTACCATCTATATTTCCATCCAGTTTTGCCCTGCTCCATCACTCCTATCTCCCTTCCTGATTTCTCCTCCTCAGTTTTGCTTTGTCCCTCTTACATGAGTCGTAAACTGCCTAGGTAGGGGAGTTTCTATTATATTTTGCTAGGCGACCAGCCTTTCTGTTAATGCACATAATTGCAACAGTAATTATAACAGCTTATATCAGGATTAAGAACCAGTTTAGCACAAACTGTCTGCGGACAAATGCCAGCTTCCTTGGCCTGTAAAGCGAGATGAGCGCTGCAACCCCAGAGTCATCTGCGACTGAACTTAACTTTCAGGGGTCCTTTACCTTTTTTAAGAGCATGAGCTATGCGTCAGATTGCCCTGTTTAAAAACCACATATCAGTCCCAAAAAGGCATTGTTAGTCTTAAGCAAGCCTTATCCACCCCCATGAATAACATGGGGATAATATTATTAGCCTGCATCATAATTTGTTGATACATAGCACACATCTCCTTAAAACATGTTGCACACTTCTTTTTAAGCCCCACAGAATTATCACTGAATGCAAATGACATGACATCATGGCATGGCATGACATCATAATTCTTTGGCCTTGGCTCAAAAAGGGTTCAGCTTCTCCCACACCCACTCCATTGAGATTTCCTCATTTAACTAAAAAATTGTTCCCTTCCTTTATGGTGCCCCAGAGCTGAGAAATTTCTGTAGAAATTTAAGAGAAAAGAGGCTTAAGAGAATTTACACGCAGGGGACACTGATCCACCACTGATTTTATTGCCCCAAAAGGTATGGATCTGCTCTTCATGCAGATACTGCCTTCCATGACCACTTCTATGCAGAATAATGTTCAGCAAAAAGGTCTGTCTGACCCTTTGACATTGGGCAGCGATGGCATTTTCCATTTGCTAAACCTTTCTGTTATGACTTAAGCACACAAGAGCACACTGGCATCTTTGAGAACGACATTTCAATTACGCCAGTCTTTTGCCAGTCATTCATTTCCCACAATGTCTTACGCCAGCATTAAGTTTGCTGTAATATGTGTGAGAGAGAAACCTACCCCCAGTCAGTCCAATACAATTTGCGGTTAATCCAGTCGATGGCGAGTCCTTCAGGTTTCTCCGTTGCTTCGCGGATAACATTTTCACGATCTGAGCCATCCAGATTAGCTCTCTCTATCCACTTCAAGGCTGTGTGAGCAAAATAAATCTGTAATGAGAAAAACAGAAGGTTTATAGCTGATTATTGCACATCTTATTAGAGAGCAGGATTTCCTTAGCTAGTGGCTTTACCACCAGCAATGAAATTTCTTTGGGGAGGGGGGAAATAAATGAGTAATTACAAAATTGTAGCCCATGATTACAGATCAAATAAGCAGGCACTTATCCTTCAACCAGAATGACTTCTGCAGCCTGAGCATGCTTAGCAAGTAAATCCTGACTGCCCTATATACCATCTCTTCAATAACCTGTGCTTCTCTTTCAGCCAAGCAACTTGCAATAGGAGAAACAATCAGTAATCTGTAAAATAATTCTGGAACCTGATAGGCTTTAACTAAGGACCTGCAAAATATGGTTACAGTATGGACTGCTCCTGTTCAGTGCTCCAGTCAGTTAGTTACCCCCTGCTCCAAAATACTCCATTCCATGCCCTCTTCCACTCAGTTTTCCCACCTGGCAACTGTCAGTCATTCCCTGGCTACTGCTCATTCTCAGTCTTTCTTGGGTATTTCTGAGTGCCCCCCCCCTTTCGTTTTCTAAAGGGCAGCGGTTTTTCTTTTTGTTTTAAGTTCTGAAAACCATGGGGTTCCTTTGAGGCTGCTCCTGCCTCTCTCGTGCATTAATGGTACTGTTTTGGCTACATACACATTGGCCTTCATCCCTGAACACTGAAAGCAGTGGGTATGGTTACTGATATCTTTTGAAACAAATTTGGAAATGCCAAGTATGAAAGATAAGTCATGTTAGTGCATGGAGAAAGTCAAACTACAGATTGCAAATGAGGAATTCCTGTTTTTTTGTTCCAAGAATAAAATATAAATTACTAACTGATTCTAAAGAGAGAGGAGGCTTCTCTTTGCCAGATTTGAAATTATATTATGAAGCAACCTATCTCTGCTGGTTGCAGGAATGGATCTTGTTAAAAAATACAGATTTACTAGATTTGGAGGGTCATGATAATAGATTTGGGTGGCACACTTATTTGTGGTATGATAATACATAAAGGAAATATAAAGAGAAAGAGGGCACTTTCTATCATATGTGGTGGCCATGTACATTGGTAAAGACTTTCTGGTAAATGATATATAATGAGTTAAAGAAAATATTTAAAAATACAGTACATTTGTCAAAAAACCAGAAACCTTCTTACTAATAATAATAATAATAAATTTTATTTATATCCCGCCCTCCCCAGCCGAAGCCGGGCTTAGGGCGGCTAACAACACTAAAACAATGCAACATTATAAAAACATTATAAAAATTAATTAAAATACAAATTGATGGCAACCATAAACTAAAGTTTTGTAAAGATTGCCAAAGGAGGGAGTCAGGCTGCGCCCTGACCAAAGGCCTGGTGGAACAGCTCTGTCTTGCAGGCCCTGTGGAAAGATGTCAAGTCCTGCAGGGCCCTTGTCTCTTGCGACAGAGCGTTCCACCAGGTTGGAGCCACAACCGAAAAAGCTCTGGCTCTAGTTGAGGCCAGCCTAACCTCTCTGTGGCCTGGGACCTTCAAGATGTTTTTATTTGAAGACCGTAAGTTCCTCTGTGGGGCATACCAGGAGAGGCGGTCCCGTAGGTACTAGGTATAATAGGTGAAGGGTTCCCAAGAAAAGATAAAAAACTTTTTATGAATGCAACGATGGCAGCGAGAATGCTACTAGCCCAGAGATGGAAAGAAGGAGAAGTACCAACAACAAAAAATGACAGGTGAAACTGATGGAGTATGCGGAAATGGCAAAACTGATGGGGAAGATCTGAAATCAGGAAGATCAAATATTTTCTAAAAACTAGAGTAAATATGTAATTTATTTAAAAGACCACTGTAAATGGTTAAAATCTTTGGCAGGGATGTAAAGACACTTGTAATGTGAATTTTTTTTAATGGCAATTATGGTTATATAATAGAGAGATAAGGGTAAAAGATGCAGTAAATTTAATCTTAAAGATGGAACCCATGGAGGGAGGGAAGGTCTAAGGGTTCAAAAGAACTCTGTATTTTAATGTCTGAAATGGTTTTGTTTTATATGTTAAAAACTTAATTAATAAATAAATAAAAAGCAAAAGCAAATGAGGAATTCCATTTAACCGTTGATGGATTCTTAAGGATCACAAGACATAAGCACAAGGCAACTGTGTCCAAATACATTATCTGAAGAGATAGCAGGTCGTCCGCTGTTTCCAGGAACTCTTCTCACTGTGAGATTTTTGTGGGTGTGCTGTGAGTTTGTTGAACCATGGGTGAGAAGCCGGAGGCTGAGAGGGTGTGTCTGAAGCAAAATGAATTGATACTGATTTATACATACTAGTAGCTTTGTATTAATGCAACATTTTTATATGTGACTGTGTATTTTTGTAATATTGCCATTGTTTGCGTTGTGCCACATTCCCAAAAGGAAACACAGACCCTGCGTAAGTGCCTGGAACACCATGAATCTCGTACCACTCAGAGAACAGGGTGGCGTGCAACAATGTTCTGTTTAAGTTGTTTGATTTTGCTTCAGTTTTCTGCACCAAGCTTAGAGATATTTTTAAATATATTAAATAAATCTAATCTAAACTCATGCACATCAAGGAGAACCAGTAACCAAGAGGTTAAAATGCAAAGAAGCAAAAGCCAAGTGTCCTTGCAACACTTCAAAATCCTCTAGTTTGCAAATGCCTTACCTTATTTTCAACAGGGTCATAGTCAAGAGCTAAGACTATTCCCATCTGCCACTCGAGTAAATTTGAGTAATCTGTTCCATCAAAACCAATACGGCGGATCTCTCGGCTCTGCGCAAACAACAGAAATGGCTTCGGCCCTGTTTGTGACAAATTTCATAGCCTGTTAGCTCTTCTAGTCCCATAATAATCTTTAGAGAAGAAACCTTGAGGATTACAGAGTTACTTTTGCCTTTTGCACGCTAAGGAAAAAGGGTGTTGCAGACCATTTTTTCCCCTAAAAAGTTTTTTTTATGAAGTCCACAGAAGAACAGAATTTTGACACTTGAATGGTAGGGCATATGCTTCTTTTTCCATATGGAAAAGAGAAAAAAGCCACAATGCAGGGAAGAAAGAGAAACTTTAGAGGCAATTGGGGAAAATTAGAGAAACTCTCTCTGTAAGGTCAAACTCAAAGAAAACCTGAGTTGTCAGTCTTATCTCTCCACCATGCTTTTATCTGAGCTGTACAGTACATTTTTATTTTTGTAAAGAGCCACTTGTGCATTGAAACCACATAGACAGATATAATCGTTAGAAGACATCTGAAGGCAGTCATGTATAGAGAAGCTTTTTAATGTGTAATGTTATATTATGTTTTTATATATGTTGGAAGCCACCCTGAGTAGCTGGGGAAACCCAGTCAGATGGGTGTGGTACAAATAATAAAATTATTATTATTATTATTATTATTATTATTATTATTATTATTATTATTATTATTAGAAAATTGCTTCAGAGGGAGAGGAGCAAAGGAATTATGACATCACAGCTGTCAGCCAATCAGCATTGTGCACAACCAACTTCAGAGGTTGAAATGGTTTTCTCTTAGCTAAACCTAAGGAGAAGGAGTGATGTCAGACAAGAACATGTTCAGTACACTTACAGTTTCTTCACTACTGAAATCATGTTTGCTTGTAATGAAACCAACTATTGTGCTACTAACCTGCAGCAGTACAGTGTCTTTTGTCCTCCTGGAGAATATAGCCAGGAAAGCAATCACATGCCCAAGTTAATGGACTCAGAGAGACACAAATGTGGCTGCAACCACCATTATCAGGAGATGAACAACCTTTAAGAGACCACAGAAAAAAATTGAACACTAAAACTCTATTACAACAAGGCTTACATTAAACATCACCACCAACCCTAATGAAGCCTTATCAACTGTTACTAAACCTTCTAAATATTATTAAACTTTCTAAAACATGACTGTTCTTTTGAAAATGGTGAGTGTTTGCTTCCAAGGAAGGTAAGGACTAGGGTCTCTACCATATTGTCTCTCACTGGAGCTTCAAGGCAAGGAGGTTCTTCCAAACTGCAAAAAAGGAAGTCCATTCCTCATGGTTGCCTGTCTCCAACAGTTAGCAAGTCTGGACACTTGTCACGATGTCTAGATAACTTCAGAAAGATTTGCCATAGTTGCTCACCACTCTAGTTTAGTAATATATGGAATATTCTCAGTATAAGAAGGTTTACTCATGCACCCCCTGTGTACACACTATATGTTTAAAGCTCATTTGAAGCACATTATTTTCCCTCAAAGAATTCTGGACACTGTAGTTTACCCCTCACAAACTTACAATTCCCAGAAGGCCTTAGCAAACTAGGATTCTTTGAGGGAAGAGGTGTTCTTTAAAGTTAACGTGTATGCAGAGTCTTAAACTCAGAAGATAGTGATTGTTTACAACACTTGAGAGGTCACATGAATGTGGAGTGACAGTCGGAAAAGAAAAATGATGAGTGGTGAGGAGGGGGTGGGATTGGAAGACTAGAACCCTAACCAGGAGTGCTTACTTTAGGAAGGTTGAAACGCTGCAATGTTTTGCTGCAGTTCCTATGTGTCCACTAAGCAAGAACCTTGTGAGTCAATCTGCATGTCACATGCAAACATATGGTTTGAAATCTGCTTCTTTTAAGGAAAAACAGCTTTGGGAGAAGAGATTTTGAGCAGAGAAGAAGCAGACATCATGGTGGGGCAGTGTTGTCACTGAAAAGTAGGGGGTACGTAAAAGGTTAGAAACACTGCTGCTTCTACACTTAAAATCACCCCTTCCCAAACCTTAACCCTTTCCACCACCAGAAGAAAGATTTTAAAACATACAGTTGTGTGTAACATTTAGTTCAGCCCTAAACAATTAATGTTATGGCTGGACAAAGACTTAAGGAAAAGGTTTCATCCATAAGCGCCATAAAACATTTGCAGTAAAATGGATGAATATCACACATACACCAGGGAAAACAGTATTTTTTGTTAAACCCTGTTCATGACAGACAGAAGAATCTCTGCCAAAAAAAGCAATGAATTCTAGCAGATATTAAGCACCCGAACCTCATTTAATGACACACCAAATGAAAGTCGTTCACACACCGCAATATGAAATGGCTTTGGATAATGAAGCAGTGAAACCCAATGATCCTGAAACTTGTCAAGAGGATGCTTCATGTTTTATTGCATCTTTTACTTTTAAATCCGTGTCTCATGATGAGTTGGGGGGGCTTTAACCCTTTCCCTGCCTTCTGCTTTTCCATTTCATAGGGTTGCTACTGTAGATGATGAAAATCTTGTAGCAGGCTGGGCAGCAGTTATCTCAGTCAGAACATTTGGGTTGAAGTCCAACTTGAAGCTTACCTGTTACATGATTTAGCTGCTAATAAAAATGGGTTTCTTATTCCTAGGATACCAATCTGGACAGTGCAAGAGTGGTGGGTGAGTACACACAAACACACTCGCCTCCCAGGCAGGTGGCTCACTCTTCACATGCTTACCTGTGCATGTTCTTCCATCTGCTTGGAGAACTGATCCCTCAGGGCAAAAGCAAACAGGCCCCTTCACTGTCTGCCCACAGCCATGGCTGCAATGAATGTAACTGCTTGGACAGGGAATTAGTTCTACAGTAAGTTTAAAACAAAGGAAATAAGAGTTAAAGGGGGAGACATATTGAACAATGGAAATAATGGTTTGCAGGAATTTCAAGGAAGGGATAAATTTCAGCCACCCTGGCTCATCAAGCCTCAGCTCTTTTAACATATGGCAAGATGGTCTCTGAGTGTATGATTTAATACACAGTACCTCTGCCTTTAGAATTAAGCTATGCAGGTCTCTTTAACCAAATAATGCATCTTGCCTCCAAGATCATAGTTTAGCCTCTGGGGTTTTTGGAGCAAGGACTGGCACTGCTGTAAGTAAGGATGGAAAAGACTGGCTATTGGAGTTAGAGTGTCTAATGGACCAGGAGGATGCGGGGAAAGGAATTGTGCAATGTCCAGATAAATGGAAGCAATTTATTTGTCTTCTTCCAGCATTGCTTGTGTGTATCATATCATCTGCCTTTTGAGCTATACTGTATGGTGCACCTGGGACACAGAGCGATTGCTGCATATAAGCAACATTTGTGTGAAGGAAGGAAGAAGACCAGCCCTACCCAAGTACAGTGATGTCAGCAACATGAAAGCTGAATACAGGAAAAAGTGGAGGAGTCCATGATCCAACAACGATGTTTGATGTGGAGGGAAATCTCATTTGTCCCCATCTGTTCAGACCATTCATGGCTGTTGTTTTTTAATCTCACAATGCACACGTTTCTCATTTTGCTGAATAAGATTTTAGAATTTGGAAATAATAGGCTGATAGTAATAATACATACTTTTCAACTCTAAATTCTGGCTTTTGTCCTTCTTAATATCTGCAAGCTGGAGGAGGAGCCCCTCGCCCCTCGCTTTTGCTCCCTTAATGGCCCATTCCCCAGGCAACCACCGATGAGGAAGCTAGGCTGATCCATATTTTAACACTTGCTAGGATTATAGGGATTAGAACTCTGGGACCCACAAACTCATAACAATACATTTGAAGCAGTATCATACCATTTGTGCCTTCCCCCAAAGAATCATGGGAAGTTTAGTTTGTTAAAGGCGCAGAGCAGTGTTAAGAGATTCCTATTCCCCCAACAGAGCTACAGTTCCCAGAGTTCCCTGGGAAGAGGGATTGATCGGTAAACCCCTTCTGGGTTTTGCATTCAGAGTACCCAGGTTCACTCCACAGCTTCTCCAGGGTAGGGTTGGGGAAAGCACGGCCTAGAATCCTAGAGAGCTACTGCCAATCATTGGAGACAAGACTAAGTCAAATGGACCAAAGATCTGGCTCAACATAAGACAACTTCCTATTTCCCTATGTAACAAAAGTGTCAGATTAGCATGGCTGTGCTGGTAAACTTCCACTGCTATAAGAAGAGGACTTTCAGAAGGCAGGAGCAAACATGCTAGTATTTGTGTCTGACAGCTACCTACCGTGGCAAGTTTTCTTGTCAGACAGTAGAACAAAATTTCTTGGACATGTACAATAATAGGAGCCTGGGACATTGACACAACCTAAAGTACATCCATGGTTCCAAAATGCACATTCATTGACATCTGATGGGGAGGAAAGAACAATTATAAAAACTCAATAAAAAAAAGGTAAGAGAACATCATTAATGATATTATGGGCTGTCACTATTTGGGGGTGGGGTTCAGTCACATGCAAATGTAGGTAACACAATGAAAGCTGATTTGGAGTTCCTGCACAACAAACTCACCCCCCACAAAGATCAGACGTCTGTGAAAAGGAAAGTAATGGGGAAACGCACTAGAAAGCGTATGATAAAACTTGCTTTGATGTAACATTACCTAACCTCTACACAGACAAATCAGAGTGAATGCTCATTCAATAGTCCATGCCTTCTAATCTCACTGGGGGGGGATCAGCAAGCAGGTCATCTGCAGGTGCCCAATATTCATATTTGGATGTCTTGAGTAAGAGAAGGTATCTATGTTAATTTTGGGTGGTGAGGGTTATTGGCTTCTTTTGTTCTTGTTTTTATTATGTATTTTGTGTTTTTATGCTGTAAACTGCCTTGAGATCTTCAGATAAGATGCAGGATGCAAGTTCAGTACATAGTAATAATATATTACTACACTGGAAACTTCCTGCAACTAATGGGAGAGAAAACTGAGCTAGATGAACCAAGGGACCCAACTCAATATAAGGCAGTTTTTAATGTGCTGTCCAGAAGAGCTATAGCACGACAAAACTGGAACCAAAAAAACCCCAGAATATTTGTGGTATGAAAAATTATGGGGTTTCAGCAGGAAGTTACAGGATACGCCCTATTTGGAAATAAAACAGTATGACTGCCCCAAAACTCCCCCCCCCGAAACAGTATTAAAAGCAGGATCCCATGTAACCATGCAAATACTATTGAAAGTGTGATTGTGTGTGACCATCCCAATAGCACCATGCACACAAATCACAATAAATGTGCAATAAAAAGCATGTCTGGAGGAGCCCATAGCATGATCACAACCAAACATTTTATCACTTATCTGTACCTAGCTCTGTACTTAGCTTGGTGGCCACAAAACCATGCACCTCAGGCTAAGAGACCCAACACCATCCTCTGTCTTGGTTCATACATGCCTATGCTTGGGACAACTCATTCTACAAAAAAACTGGCACTCTTTTTATTTCTATGTCCAGTGTTAAGTGCTGATCAGTTTAGAGTGTATTATGTCTCATCAATCCCCTGCTTCACTGTGAACAAACCAGCACTTGAATTACAAGGGACAGCCTCATTAGTTACTGTATCTAAAAAGTGTAGGGAGTCATGATTTGGAAAAAGTGGGGGTCAGGAGCTGGGGGCTTGTGCATTTCACAAAGGGCCTCCTTGCCCCCCACCTCAAATTAGTCCAGCATTGTGAACCAGACTGAAAGATTTCAAAAGAGCTGCCTTGTGGTCTGACATTTTTGTCCCTCTGTTCCTAAAATATATATGGTGGAGAAACACCATCTATTTTTCTAATTTAGTGCATCTGTTTATAGTTTAAACACTAGAGAGTAGCAAGTATGCCTGCCTACCCACATCATTCAATCACAAGCAGTTATCCTTCATTACCTTCACAATATTGCTTTGTTTTGCTTAAGGTAAACCCACTCATACATTTACAACGACTGCTCCTGGGGTCTCGCTTGCAGGTACTTGTCTTGCAGCTTTTTCGAGTTGAAAGACATGGCCTTCTTTCTGGAAAAGAGGATTATATCAAGATAAAGAGTGACTCAAAATGCACCCAGTTTTTATTTATATATTAGGGGCTGATGTCCCTGGTGGCTTCCTTCAACAATCCCTTCCCTGCAACCCTTCCCCCAGAACCCGCCTTCCCCTTACTCCTTGCCCAAGCCCCCATCCCCAAACCTCTGTCTACTCTACCACACTGCCCCTCTCACCGAACCTGCCCTTCTGATGATTTGCAGCATAACCCAATTCCACAAGGACCTTTGCTACAATACTGTCCTCCTGGAGAATAGATTTACTTGAAGAACAAATCTGAATTTCAATGCTCCATCTGTGTCTCAATTAGAAATTAGGGAAATTAGAAACTGAGCTGGATGCAAATATATCTACAAAAAAGGCCTGTGTGTAAAAAAAAATTGAGCAGAGAAAATTAGGTGTGTTTATGCATGAATGAATTGTGTGTGTGTGTGTGTGTGTGTGTGTGCAGACATATACAGATAAATGACCTATCTAAGGCATAGGTAGGAAGATTAGATAGATGATAGATGTTAGATAGATAGACAGACAGACACTCACACTCAAGTAAAGGAAGCCTTGGGTTCTTTTGATAGTAACATTGTACAGAACATTGCTGTAAGTGGGTTCATCTTCAAATGCCGCTTTGTCACTGTATACAATTGTTACTTCATAAAGGTGCACTGTTTATGAATAGAGCTATGACATTGCACAAACGCATTGCATTGGTTTTGAAGCCAACGTACTTCTGTGCAGTGCCATGAAAGAGTCCTGGTAAAGATAAGTCAGAACGCCAAGGGAAGGGCAGGTAAAACAGTGGGAGGCATCCTGGTTTGACCCGTTGGAAGCAGAACACTAATCTAGTGGAAGGAAAAGAGCTTGCAACTAATAACCCAAATTTGACCTTAGCAAGCATTTGACAGCTAAAACAGTTTCTGTATTGTACGTGAAAAGCACAGCAACAGCTATTTCCTTTAAAAAAAGAAAAAGGAAACAATGTTAGATTGTGCACTTTTAACTCCAGCGCACATTGACTTAGCCTCTGCAGAGCATTGAGTTAATGCTCACATGATTTCATTTTCAGGTTTCCCTTGTTGTAAGATCCCCTTATAAATCTCATTTGTACTTTAGGCTAATTAGCCTTCCCTCAATCCAGGTCCTTGGGCTGGATAAGCTAAACAACGCACATGCAAAGTCCAAAGGCTTCATCTGGATTGGGCTACTTAAGCTTCTTTCCACCCCCTCAATGTTTTATAAGAAGTCATTGGTGGGGGAGTGGGGGAGGCCTATATTGCATTTCAAATTCCTATGCTCCAGTCTATCCTGCCATAAAAGGAAGATTCCGGAGTCAACGAAGAGCTCGTTTTAAAAGCGAACTAATTATTAAGGTGGGAGAGAAGGGAAATTGCATCTCATCTCAACAGCTTTATACTATGGTAGCCAAAAAGGTCATGAGAAAAGGCAAGTAGGAGCATACACATGAGTCAATAAATTGCACCTTACTATGTACCTTCATTTGGACGGACAATTTACTTTCCCAGAATCTTCTGCCACTCTTGTCAGCCGTTATGACCCATATCACTTACAGTGTTGATTGCCTGTTCCCCAGTATACACACATGCAAATACACTGAAAGGCCTCCTGTCAATATGAGCACAGGCTGACTGAGGTGATATTATGCAATGATGTTTGCTAAGCTTAGGTTGACTGCTTGCATCAGCCTCCGCAACAGGACGGCACCTCAGTACCAGCCCACAATCATCTTTATTTGGCTGAGTGCACACAACTGATTAGCAGTGTTCCATTTACAAGGATAAACTGCAACGAACTCACTGTCTACCATATCCAACAGAGCAATGGTCCCCAAGGATACAGGTGGACAGGTTTTACATATTTCTTGAAGTGTCATAAGCTTTGCAATTGCCCGAGCATTGCCTTCTCTCTCCTCCTGTTTGTAAAGGCCCTGCATATGAATGGTCCATAGATGGGCAGACTATGCATGTACAATGGCTATGCATGTACACTGTGGCATTCAGACTTTCAGGCAACACCGGCAGTGAAAGCAGTACACAAGCATAGAGTGTCATCTGACAGATTTGGGAATTAGGCTGAAGGGAAGAGAAGCATGGTCAGGAACACATTCATCAAGCCAAGTTCCTATGGTGTTCTTCCAGTTTTATTCCTATTGCTTAAAGTAAACCATTGTTTTAATTTCAATCTTATATATTGGTGGGTTTGTGGGGAAGAAGTATCCTTTATTCACAGCCATTTTATACTCCCTCAATAAATTAATCCGGAAGTATCCTCAGTGACATCTATTTTTAAAATAAGGAATTTATAATGAAGGGTGGTTTGAAAAACTACAAAATTTGGGACACGTTAACGTGCAAACATTTGTTCCAAATGGATTTCTGGTGGTTGATTATTATACAATATGTCTGTGAAGAACACTGGGCATTATTATGACTTATTCTTAGAAGAAGAAAAACTACAAATGAATAAATGTAAAAAGAAAGAGAATGAGGTATATTCATGTTTATCACATTATTAGAAATAGAAACGAAAGTAAGTTGTAAGAGCTATTGTGTGCCAATATCAAGGGAAGGGGGATACAAGTGTATGTGTGCATGCGTGTGAGTGTGCGTGTTTGTTTCACACAAAACATGCAATCTTCTTTTTAAAATGAGGTGCTGGAGAATGTGATATTAATAATGCAGATTTTATACCTACATAATGAGCATGCTTAGCTAAGGAAATTAGAACAGAGAGAGAGATGAAAGAAATTGAACATAGTTGAACAAAGTTGCAGCATTGTTAAGGCATTTTGAAAGGTTTGGTTGGAAAATGTGAACAGGAATTATCATGATAGTATATTCCTTGAATATCATGACAGTAGCAAAAGCAGGGTGGTGCAAGATAATTTGAGATGGGATCCTAATAACCAAGCAAAACAATTATGCAACATGAGTTAAGCTTAAAATTCTTAAATATTTGATAATCAAATTACATGGAAACTTACCAAATGTTTTAGAACCCATCCTTATGCTGAGCTGTTTTAATGGGTGCACTACCAGTATTTCAGCAGGTGGGAGAAGTGACAGCTGCAGGTTAATTGCAACTATATCTTTTCCTGTATATTTATTAGCTCTCCAAATACTACCAGTGGTTGAGTCGGAATAGTACATGTGGTCAGCAAAGAGAAATATGTCAGAAAGTTGGGTTCTATGGGAAAATAAAGCAAATAGTTGCATCTGTTCATTAACTTGCTGAAAGTTCATTAAGTCATGGACATTCTAGCCCATTGATGGCCAAACTCGGCCCTCCAGCTGTTTTGGGACTACAGTTCCCATCATCCCTGACTACTGGTCCTGTTAGCTAGGGATGATGGGAGTTGTAGTCCCAAAACAGCTGGAGGGCCAAGTTTGGCTATCACTGTATCTAGCCAGTTAGGCAGCATTTCAGAGATAACAGGGCGGATCTTTACTATACATTTAAAACACATCCAGACACATTTAAAGCACACAAATTCCCCAAAGAATCCAGGGAACTGTAGTTTGTTAAGATTTCTGGGAATTGTAGCTCTGTGAAGGGAAAACTACAATTCCCAGAATGCTTTGCAGGAAGTCATGTGGTTTAAAAGCATGTTGGATGTACTTTAAATGTATGGGGTAGACCCCATATGTCTCCTGGCTAGACTGGCTAGACTGGGGCAATTTATTTTACACTTTGGCATTATATATTCACTAGCATATATATAAGTTATATTCATTAACATACCGTACTATGTATTTGTGCAAATGAACAGAACTAGCATTGTAGTCACAGCTTGCAATATGTGAAACTTCATCACTGGCATCATATTGGATCCAGAAGAGCTTCAGATCAATAAGATCTAGTGAGATACTTCTGATTTTTCCTGTGCTCCTCAGAAGTCTCCACATGTCTTTCCCATTCAGAACTGCTCTGTAGATGCTGTCAGTGGTTCCTTCAGAGGACCAAAATAAAAACCTGTTGATAAGATCAGTTATTGTCATTAATGTTATTAAAATTACTTCAAGAGCAGTAGATCATAAATCTCTCACTTAATTCATTTGCAATCATAACTTGGAGGGCTCACCAAAATTTACCAGTTCAGACATAAGAGGAACCTAGGTTCAATCGTGCCAGGAAATTACTCATTAAACTGATACATAAGAGGAGGAAGGAGAGAGAAGATGAGAATGAATATCCAAGCACATGACCCTTTCCCGGTCCTCCAAACCACAGAGGATCCTTCAGTCTACATTCCATCTAAAGCTTTTTGTTTCAGCACTGTGTCACTATAAACCATAAAGACAATCTGAGTTACCTTCTGTTTGGATCAACCACAATACTTGTGGGATGGTGTCCATCATTTATGATGATTTGGGAATGGTTCCCATCCATGTCAACTGCCTCAATTGTGGCCTTCTGGTAGTGAGCAAAGTAAAAGTTGTGGTTTATCCAATCCACTGCAAATCCAGAAACATCTTTTTCTATGTGGTAAATTATCTATAATGGGGGGGGGGGGAGAATTGTCACCCAATTGTCATTATACTAAGACACCAGATCACTGGTTGAATCAGAATGCCATACAAAGCATTGGAATTCATGAACCTTAATCAAACAATTCAGGATGAAAGCCGCCTGAGATTACCACTTCAGGATATACATTTATGTGTTTACCAGAAAAGCAAGAAAAGGCTTGTTAAATTTGTAAGCAGCTATGCTATTTTTTCTATCATGAGACCTTCCTTGCTTGGACATTTTAGCCTTGGTTTTGTCTGCCTGACAAATAGCAGCTTTCTCCTAGCATCTGTGGGGGAATTGTCATTAGGACTGCTATGGGGAGATGTTTAAACCTCTGCTCCTCCTCAGAGGAGTAGAGAAACAATAAAATTAATGACTCATTTAACATCATGTCTAGTTTGGTTGAGCGGCTAACCAGATATCTTACTCAAGATTTTATTTCACACTACATGTACAGGTAAATGCGCAAAACACATTTAGCTTAAAGTAAGGAGAGAGGAAGGAGACATAATTTAAAAATATAAACACAACAAACAAGCAGACAAACATAAGGAAACGCAACAAAGAGGAAACAGTTTTGCATTAAAATTGTAATTTATGAGTGTAGACGCAAATTTAGAAATAATTACTCTAGTTTATATAGAGCTACAATACATCTCACCAACTGTGACCCGGCGATGTGTGTGTCTGCTCAAGGCTGCTGTAACTTCAAGGCCCTTTCTCTTCCTTCTTCTTCTCTTCCTTATCTTTAAACTGGGCTTGGTTTACACTTCCAAGACAGGACTCATTGTAATAAAGGGTGGTCCTCTGCCAGTCCTTCAATTAGAGGACTGCTCTCTGTAAAGTTGGGTGAGTGATCACTCTAGTTATGATCATTAATAATAGACTGTCCATCACTCCTACTAATAGTGAATTTAGTTGGCGAGTGCTGAGAGGGCAGCAGCTAAAATGTGTTTTTTATATTGTAATTTTATGTTGTGAGTTGCACTAACATCTATGGAGGGCAGTGTACAAATTTAATTTAATAATAATAATAATAATAATAATAATAATAATAATAAAACAGATGGAGGTATCAGCATGCTCCAGGGAGATGCAGATGTTTTCAGAATTTTGATGATTACATTCCATTACCTGTTGATTTGAACCATTCAGGTATACTCGCCGGATAAGGCCTTCTTCAGTGTCCACCCAATAAAGGCAATCTTCTTCATAATGAAAATCTATTAATGTTGATAAGCTAGCATCAGCCACCAGTCTTTTGTGATTGGTTCCCTCAGTGTCTATTCTAAAGATTGCATTTCCTTGGCTGAAAACTAGGAATGGTGCAGGATCTAAAAAGGCCAGGAGAGAGAGAGAGAGAGAGAGAGAGAGAGAGAGAGAGAGAGAGAGAGAGAGTTAAATACAAAAAAGTAGAGAATTTTGGGTGTTAGTGACTTCTACTCGGGTGGCGCTGTGGGTTAAACCACAGAGCCTAGGACCTGCCGATCAGAAGGTCGGCGGTTCAAATCCCTGTGATGGGGTGAGCTCCCGTTGCTTTGTCCCTGCTCCTGCCAACCTAGCAGTTCGAAAGCACGTCAAAGTGCAAGTAGATAAATAGGTACCCCTCTGGCGGAAAGGTAAACGGCGTTTCCGTGTGCTGTTCTGGTGGCCACATGACCCGGAAGCTTTACACCGGCTCCCTCGGCCAATAAAGCGAGATGAGCACCGCAACACCAGAGTCGGTCACGACTGGACCTAATGGTCAGGGGTCCCTTTACCTTTACCTTTACTCGCACATCAGGACTTCTTCTTCCTCTCTTTCACCTCCACCTGTTCCCTGTGTGTTCCCAAAATTTTATCCAAGGAGTACCTCAACCCTCTGGTGCAGATTTTGGGGGTATATAGGTTTGTTGCCCCAACCACTCTGGGCAGCTTCCACAATATAAACCAACAGTAAAACATCAGACATTTAAAAACTTCCCTATATAGTGCTGCCTTCAGATGTCTTCCAAATAGGTGTTTGCATGGAGAGGCGAGGAAAGGAAAGAGAAAAGCTTTCAGGGACTTGTTTCTTTTGCCTTCAGCCTAAAATTCAAGTTAACTGTAGTTTTGCTTTACGTATCTGAGCTTCAAGCACATCATTGCTATCATGCAGCTAGTCATTTGGGTTTTTTGTGCTCAAAATTATCTCCACGAATCTAAGGTTTTGCTTTTGAGTTATCTAATAACACTTTTAATAAATATTAGACTGGCTTACAGTTTTTATTCAATGGGTAGTCCTGGTTTTTGGCTACGCAAGAGAAAACATCACAAAGTGTGGTTTATTTGGGGGGGGGAGGTGTTTTTGGAGCGTTCAGAGTTGCTCCTGCATTTGAAGTGATGTTGCTTTCTGCTGTTTGCACTGGGAGAATATGAAACTATGTAGACTTGCTTTGCGTACATGGCAAATGAAGGTTGAACTGCAACAAAGTTGATTTGTCTCAGGAATCTGACAGCTGTACGGCTTGCACTTTTTCCAGTTACTCCCTTGACCAAACATTAACATACATTTTGTTACTAAGTTGTTTGAGACCTGGAATTTCACACTGAGGTAGGCTAGTCCTACAGGACTTTGGAGGGGGGCAAATAGCTATGATGGCAAAAGCATTTCTGCTGTTGTTTTTGCTGATATTCTAAAACCTGTTTTTATGATTTAGTTATTGTCCTAAAACGTTGCCATAAGGCACCTTTGAGTATATGGGGAAAGGAGTATAAATATATAAAATGCATAAATACATTTATGCTGGTTTTTTCCCATTGAAGCCTAGAGACAGAAACACTGGTCAGCTAAAACCATTACACCTTAGTTGAAACAAGTCAACAGTTTGAGAGGATCAATATATCACTATTGCAAGTTATCACCATCAAAAGCTATTTTCAACAGAACACTAAAAACCAAAGTGATATCCTATTAAGAAAATTCCTGCCATGCACTTGGCTGATCCATGAATTTTGGATGACTCAAGAGACCATTATGTAATAATTACCCACTTAAAAATATCTCTCCTTGCATATGTTTTATTAGTGGGAGTAGGAGAGGTGGGGGGGAATCACATCTGGCAACCATGCACCCCTTTGGTTTCAGATTGTACATGGGTAAAGGTAAAGGTAAAGGGACCCCTGACCATTAGGTCCAGTCGCGGATGACTCTGGGGTTGCGGCGCTCATCTCGCTTTATTGGCCGAGGGAGCTGGCGTACAGCTTCTGGGTCATGTGGCCAGCATGACTAAGCTGCTTCTGGTGAACCAAAGCAGCATATGGAAACGCCGTTTACCGTACCTTCCTGCCAGAGCGGTACCTATTTATTTACTTGCACTTTGACGTGCTTTCAAACTGCTAGGTTGGCAGGAGCAGGGACCGAGCAATGGGAGCTCACCCTGTCGTGGGGATTCGAACCGCCGACCTTCTGATCGGCAAGCCCTAGGCTCTGTGGTTTAACCCACAGCGCCACCCGCGTCCCATCAGTACATGGCTAGATGAGTCTAAAAATCCTGGGACACAAATTTCCACGGCCCTCTAGCGGCTATGGTGCCTCATTTACTGAAGTAATGTACCGTATTTTGCGTTAACTCTGGAAGCGTATACTCAACTCTGACCAAACTAAGCCTCCTAGAGCAAAATATACATTCATCAATATCAATAAAGTAATCATTTATAGGTTAGAACACAACGGTAAACCACAATCCAAACATGTTTTAATTGTTCAAGTACTGGAATAAGTTAACTACCAATTGCCAATTTTTGATTCCTGTAAATAAAGTAGTATGAGTTATTGTCTTAGATTTAGCTGTTCATGACACCTGGTAAAGAAAGCAAGGAATGACAGTTGATGATCAGCCTAAAATAATGTTCAGGTACTTTTTGAGGACTTACTATCTCCACTCTCCCTGTATTTATTTGTGTTGATAATTTGGCCCTCATCCAGCTCTTACAGAAATGGAAAGCCATGTGATCTGAATGCACCTTGAATTGAAAATGTGTGCTGCCACCATTAAACTTGATAGATACATCTGATGTCACATCCTCATTCAGGTCCACTAGTCACATATTATAAAGCACAAATAGAACTGGATTTGGGCACTGGCTTTTATTAAATAAAATAGGTACTCTATTTAGTTTGCTCTACATCTGGAGCTCAGTAGTCTCTATTCAATAAAGTATCATGTAACTCATTTTAAACATGTGCTTGACTGTCAATACATTTCCATCTTTATCCGACAGATTTTTCTATTCAGACAATCCCAAATAAAAAATCAGACCCCTGGAATTCAATCCAAACAGCAGCTAAGATTTGAGCACAGACATCCAAGTTCTGCAGGCTCCAACTAGATCAGCGGTTCTCAACCTGTTGGTCCCCAGATGCCATTGGACTACAACTCCCATCATCCCTGAGCTCTGGCCTTGCTAGCTAGCAGTGATGGGAGTTGTAGTTCAACAACATCTGGGGATCCACAGGCTGAGAAAGGCTGAACTAGATGTTTTGCATGTTAACTAGCTAGAGAATTGCATGTAAAAGAAACAGAAAAAGTTTCCCCCATCCCATCATCATCTGCTGGCCCTGCTTGTAGATCAAAAGCCAATGTGGTGAGATGATATGATGGTGTCATATATCTGTGATGGTCCTTTTGGACAACTCTAGAATGTTACAATTCTATGATGTCGTAAGTGAATTCTTCCCTTTAGCCACAACTTGTCTTTGGTCCCTTTGCTAACAAATCAGGCAATTCTGGCCAATGCAGGGTGCTGCACTGTACAGACTAGACATCCAATACCTTGGGCGAAGCCCAACCCAAGAATTTATCCAGTTTCACATAATTCTGCAGACTGAAAAACACACCAATTCTACAACAGAGGGGGTGGTGTTTTTGTTTATTCCATTTGGCAACTCTAGGCTTGCCCATTTTAACCAGCAGCGGAAACATCTATCGTTTTGTAGAGAAGATGCTGTTTCTTAACATACGTCCCACAATATCAAGTGCAACCAAGTCTGAATCATCATCAGCTGCCTGTTTTGTACCCCACACCCATCAAAATAGTGAAGTAGCTGCCATCTTCCTGCAGCTGCTCTGGATACCCTGGCAACAATTTCCCCGTAATGAGAACTTTCCCTGTGTTAAATAAATCCTCTTAGAGAGAACAAAAGTTTCCTACAATGCTCTGGCAGGCAGCGCAGAATGGAAGAATGAGGTTCTGCTCCCAGCTCAAAGGCCTCTTTATGCCATCTCAGCAGAGGGTCTTAAGAAGGAGCAAAAACGATGAATCATGTCATTGCAATGCTAGTAGCCAGTCCTTAGCATCTTTATACACAAGCAACCTCGTTTACCAAGAGTCCGAAAAAAAGACCCAGTTAGAGAAGGTGAAGAAGCATTAGTATGCCTGTCAGGGAGGCAGAGTCCACATTGGTGTATTGTGAAGTGAGCCAGAGTCTGCCCTTGTTTATTTTCTCCCTGATGCCAAGACCTATACAGAATCTTCTAGTATGATAGCGATATTCAGCTATTCCAAATTTAGGTTGCTACATGCTGCTGCTGAGTGTTCTCTGCTGGGCTGCTACAAGTTTCTTCCCACCCCCTCTCCCCTACTCTTCTTTTCCATTTCAAATCATATGCTGAGGAGAAAATATACTTCACGTTAATTCAGATGCGTTTTACCTCACCTCCAAAAGACTGAGGCTGTGCAAACATTATTTGAAGCATGTTCGAAAGCACATTTCCTCCCTCTCCAAAGGATTGTGGGCACTGCACATAGTTTCTTAGGGGTTGCTGGGAATTTTAACTCTGTGAGAGGTACTCTGTGGTGCCCAGAATTCTTTGTGAGGTGGAAATGTGCTTCAAATGGGCTTTAAATGTATAATGTCTACGCAGCCTCAATCTTTGGGAGGTGAGGTATGAGGGACCTCAGATACTGTGGTGTCTTTATGATATATGGTTTATTTACACACATATACAACTTTACTGCAATGAAGAGGCTCACACCCCAAGAGGTTTTGCTTCTCCCATAGACACAGCCTTGAATTCCAGCAGAAACCAAGCATGTCTCTGCCTCACAGGCTTCTGCTTCTAGCTCAGTCTTGGCTTTTGTACTTCTAACTACCAGCCAGTTGAGGGAGGTGGCACACCCATTTGAAATCTGGCCAGAGTCTCTTCCTTTGTTGCCTTAATGACCTACCTGTACATAGACTATTACCAAGAAATTGACCAGGCTATTCCAGCAATTGAATCCTTGCTGGATTCGGGAACTGGAAGGGACTCAGGCATACAACCTAACTCCTGCCCCCAAATTCACAACACTATTGTTTACCCAGATGCTGGACTCTGATTCACAATTTTCTGATTGGTGGTCCTTTTTTCTTTTTGAGCAATGCTAAGTTTTATCTATGGTACATAGCTTCATTCTGTTTTTAGTCAGCTTTTTTAAAGTTTTCTTTGATTGTTAATGTTGCACTTCTATATGAATTTATATTGAGTTTCCCCATTATTGTCTCTTAGGCCTTTTTACATTAAGCAAAATGGAAATTTCATGAACAAACAAACAGTGTGGGCAATTAACAAAAGGACCTCGTGCAACATCTATAATGGAGTCCCATCCTGACTGTTAAATCCTGTCTTTTGTGGATTTGAACTAAATGTAGAATTATTCCCAAGATCAGTGTCTTCACAGGGTCTTGAACTGCAAAAATTAAACTTGTAGTGGATAAAATGGTCATGTGAATTCACCTTTAGTTTAAGGAAATCAAAGGATTGCTAGTAAATAGGCCTTTTTTTAAAAAAAACCAGTGATGGAGAAGCAACACACCTTTCAACTATTTGATCCATCTGATAAGAGCTCTTATGGCTATGGTTTTAGCTTTCATGGGTTTTGAAACACTTCTCAATAAAGATATCTCAGAGGCAAATCCTGCTGAGTTAATGGGATTTACTCCCAAGTAAGCATGCGTATGATTGCAGCCAATATCTATTATATTTACACTACAGACTTACATTCCTTTGAAATGGTAGTTCTGTGAGAGGGGAATAGGCATCTTTCACAGATAATACTCACTGGCAAATTACTGTTTCCAGTGTTCTTATGGGGAAGCAAGAGCTCTTAAAGTGGTAGAAAGAAAATCAATAAAAGTTTTTTGAGTCACTCAAGAAACAATTGCTGCAAATTAGTTACTCCAAGGCACATATGAACCTAACTTCCATTAAATGTATCAATACTAACGTCTCCAAACCCACACACCCCCTCACCCAAATATTTCTTCTGCATGCTTTTGTTTTGTTATTTTTTCTGACAAGTTTCTTGGCAGACGTCTCAAAGCACCTGTTACTGTTCCACTGGAAACTTATCAAGGTTGTAGTCCTAGCTATTTCTTCTAAAAACGCACAGCAAACATAGGAGAGACTCCAAAGAATAAAGGCACATAAACATGGTTTCTTTTTAAAGAAAATAGCGTTGAACGAAAAAGCCCCGCATTGCTAAGCCTCTTAACTGACCTGAAGTTTGGAAGGGGGGAGGGACCAATTCACTCACCTACACAAGAGGAATTTTCCTTCTGCATCTGGTATCCTCTGGGACAGCTCCAGAGCTTCTCAGCTGACAGACTGACCAAACTGATTTTAAAAGCCACAAGCAAAAGATCTGTGAGCAACATAGTCTTGACCCACTTTTTCAGTGTCAGTAGGGCAGGCGAGACTGCTCAACTTCAGGCATCTTCAAGACAAAAAAGAAGCAGGTGTCCTCATTCCAAAGGTGCATCAAACACAGCAGAGACACATCACCTCCCAGCTCAATTCCGTGGTCTGGCTAAACTTGACACTAGGGAGAGCGGAGGGGCTGGCTGACTCCAGTTCTCACCCTCAAAGAAATTCCAGGGTGATCTCTTCTTTGCTCATGCACACACTTCTTCTGCCTTTTTTTTTTTTTTTTTTTTTTGGAAGTGAAGTATGAAATGCCTAACCCTCTTGTTACAAAATTAACACGGCTTTTTTTGAAAAATAATAATAAATGTGCTACTGCAAAATTCAATACCAAGGCAATGAAAATGTTGCAGGTTTATATGGATATACAAAGGCACTAATTTCTAAAGTAATCTTTTTAAAGTAATAGGTAAGCAGATACACTGTAGTCCCCAAAACATAGATCCCATTTTTGTACGCACGCTAGAATGACGGTCCTTCTCTTCCTAACAGCTTCTTGCCCACCCCCTCTTTCTTGTATTGTTAGTGCCACTTGAGTGAAGCTTGTGTTTGCAAATAGAACTGTAGCCAGCTCCATGGTCCAGGGAAGTTAGGCAATGCATAGCTAGACAATCGCTCCCAGTTAATTGCCTAGTTGAAGGGGAAGGGAAAAGAGAGGGGAAGCAGCAGCATGGTGTAGTGATTTAGAGTGTTGGACAAGGATCTTGGAGACTAGGGTTCAAATCTCCACTCAGATCAGGCATGGGAGAAGGAGCACAGAGATCAGGTGGGAAGGATGGTGTGGCAGGGGACATCCTGCTTTGCCCTCCCAAAATGTTGGAGGATATGCAGCCTCCAGTATTTGCCCAAGAATGCTGCATGCTGACTCTGGGCCTGGAGGGGCGCCCAATAGTTTGGTAGGCAAACCGCAGCAAAATTGTGCCTAAGATGAGCGCCCAATAGTTTGGTAGGCAAACCGCAGCAAAATTGTGCCTAAGATGAGCCCACGTAGAGAGCCAGCGTGGTGTAGTGGTTAAGAGTGGTGGACTCTGGTGAACTGGGTTCACTTCCCCGCTCCTCTACATGCAGCTGCTGGGTGACCTAACCTGATCTCTGATGTCAGACTAACCTGATCTCGTTTTTTGACAGAATTACAAGCCTGGTAGATGAAGGGAACGCAGTGGATGTAGCCTACCTTGATTTCAGCAAGGCATTTGACAAGGTGCCCCATGATATTCTTGTAAAGAAGCTGGTAAAATGTGGTCTTGACTATGCTACCACTCAGTGGATTTGTAACTGGCTGACTGACCGAACCCAAAGGGTGCTCATCAATGGTTCCTCTTCATCCTGGAGAAGAGTGACTAGTGGGGTGCCACAGGGTTCTGTCTTGGGCCCGGTCTTATTCAGCATCTTTATCAACGACTTGGATGATGGACTCAAGGGCATCCTGATCAAATTTGCAGATGACACCAAACTGGGAGGGGTGGCTAACACCCCAGAGGACAGGATCACACTTCAAAACGACCTTGACAGATTAGAGAACTGGGCCAAAACAAACAAGATGAACTTTAACAGGGAGAAATGTAAAGTATTGCACTTGGGCAAAAAAAATGAGAGGCACAAATACAAGATGGGGGACACCTGGCTTGAGAGCAGTACATGTGAAAAGGATCTAGGAGTCTTGGTTGACCACAAACTTGACATGAGCCAACAGTGTGACGCGGCAGCTAAAAAAGCCAATGCAATTCTGGGCTGCATCAATAGGAGTATAGCATCTAGATCAAGGGAAGTAATAGTGCCACTGTATTCTGCTCTGGTCAGACCTCACCTGGAGTACTGTGTCCAGTTCTGGAACGTGTCCAGAGGAGGGCAACCAAAATGGTCAAAGGCCTGGAAACGATGCCTTATGAGGAACGGCTAAGGGAGCTGGGCATGTTTAGCCTGGAGAAGAGGAGGTTAAGGGGTGATATGATAGCCATGTTCAAATATATAAAAGGATGTCACATAGAGGAGAGAGAAAGGTTGTTTTCTGCTGCTCCAGAGAAGCGGACACGGAGCAATGGATCCAAACTACAAGAAAGAAGATTCCACCTAAACATTAGGAAGAACTTCCTGACAGTAAGAGCTGTTCGACAGTGGAATTTGCTGCCAAGGAGTGTGGTGGAGTCTCCTTCTTTGGAGGTCTTTAAGCAGAGGCTTGACAACCATATGTCAGGAGTGCTCTGATGGTGTTTCCTGCTTGGCAGGGGGTTGGACTCGATGGCCCTTGTGGTCTCTTCCAACTCTATGATTCTATGATTCTATGATTCTATGATTCTATGACCTTGGGCTAGTCATACTTCTCTGAAGTCTCTCAGCCTCACTCACCTCACAGAGTGTTTGTTGTGGGGGAGGAAGGGAAAGGAGATTGTTGGCCGCTTTGATACTCCTTAGGGTAGTGATAAAGAGGGATATCAAATCAAATCCAAATTCTTCTTCTTCTTCTTCTTCTTCTTCTTCTTCTTCTTCTTCTTCTTCTTCTTCTTCTTCCACTTGGAACCAGGGCTTCTTTCTCACAACAGACTTGGGGACCTTTTTTAGGCCTGAAAGATTCTTCTCATGGGCAAACACCAGATGCAAATGGGGGCAGAGCTGATGGATGGTACTCTTACTCTTACACACACAGACACCCTCTATTTTCCAACCAGGCAAGCAGGAGCCATTATCACAGTTCAAGGACACATTCCAGGCATGCAAAAATACTCAAGGATGATGCCACCTATGGGGTAGTTTGCAGACTGGGGAAAGTCCTGAAGCCCAAATGAGTAGGTTGGGAGAAACGCAATGGGTCTTGAAGGAGCATCTCCACCCCCATTGTCCAGCCCAGACACTGTGGTCCAGCTCCAAGGGCCTTCTGGCGGTTCCCTCACTGTGAGAAGGAACCAGGCAGAGGGTCTTCTCAGTAGCGGCGCCTGCCTGGTAGAATGCCCTCCCATCAGATGTCAAGGAGATAAATAACTATTCGACTTTTAGAAGACATCTGAAGGCAGCCCTGTACAGAGTTTTTAATAGTTGGTGTTTTACTGTGTTTTTAATATTTTGTTGGGAGCCATTCAGAGTGGCTGGGAGAACCTGGTCAAATGGGCAGCATATAAATAAAAAAATATAACAGCAGCAATAATTCTGTGCTTTCTGATTTCTCTAAAGAAGTATTTTAGTAGATTAGTTAGTTGGGACCCTTCAGGCAACTCCTTGTGAAAGGTGAAGTATATTATTATATGATTAGCAGCATGATACAAGTCCCATTGAGTTCAGTAGGGCTTCCTTCCAGGGACATGGGCGTAGGACTGCAGTCTGGAATTGCACAGCGCAGCAGCTGGCAATCCTGGCAGCACCCAGGAGATGCCACAGCTGTACATGGAGCCATTCCTAGGAACACTAGCTTTGTTGACCTTAACTGACAGAAACTGATAAGCATGCACTCTTGGAAAGGAAGAAATAGCATGAAATAGCAGATTAGAAACTGTGCCACTAACAGCAATGGCACGAAACTGTTTCATTGTTGTTTATACATCTGTGCAGACGAAATCTCCTGTTTACGTAATCCATTCCATCCATTACTGCAGAGATAGGAAACCTTTTGCAGCTCAAGGTGGGTGTATCCAGAGGCAAAAGTCAGCAGAGCCATGAATGTAAATGGTTTTGTGGTCCTTCCTTTTCGTCTTTTTTTTTAAATGTAGTAGCAATCCCCCACAGCAGCAATTTTGTGACCCATAGTGCTTTCTCAAAATTCCAAATATGTCCACTGACTCAAATGGTTGATAACCCCTGGCATAGATGATCTAAATAAATAAATCAGGTTCTGGGCAGTAACATTACACAGCTAAGATAAGGTGTGTTATTAAAACAGACTAGAAACTATTACAGTTGCTTTAGGAGTGAACTGTGTTTCACCCAGAGATTATACTGTTAAGAGGTGATATTACAGCCATCTTCAAATATCTAGTGGCTATGACTTTGATGATAGAATAAATTTGATTTTATTGCACCTGAGAGTAGGACCTGACTCAAACAGTTCAGATTACAAGAGTGGAAATTTTTCAACTAATCCAGGAAGACCACTGTTTGACAGTGAAACAGACTGCTTTGGAAAGGTAGTGAGAGTTGTCCTTTGTTAGAGCCTTTTAAGCAGAGCTCTGGGTTGTCTACCTAACAGGGATGGAGTAGCAGCAGATTTCCTGAAGGAACCTTGGAGACAGGGATGGGGCAGAAGAGATTTGATTCAGTTCACATTTAAAAGTGAATTTACCTAATTTGCACTTTCTGAAATAATACACGAACCAAAACTCAGTACTGTAATCAGATGAAATTTGCACTTCTTTGCCTTTTGCAAAGCAATTCTCTACCCAAGTAGTTTGTATGAAAATACATATACTAGGGTAAAGTGTGCATTAAAATGCATATATTATTGAACGTAGTATAAAAAACTGCATTAAATGAGGGGAAAATTCCCTCCAAAAGTATCAGGCAAATTGGCATACAAAAATGTGTATATTAAGGGAAATTCACACTAAAATGTAGGTGAATTTTCAAGAGGACTTTTTTCGGGGGGTTCTTTAAAAAAATGCAAACTGGTGTGAAAATATGGAGAACGTAAGATTGGAAAAACTGACAGTCAGAAACTGAAATTGACATATCCACCAATCCCTACCCAGAAGTTCCTTCTAACTCACTTCCACACCAAACATTTAGGGGATTTATACTGCTTTAACAGTCATGGCTCCCCCTCCCCCCCCCGCCCTCAAAGAATCCTGCGAACTGTAGTTTGTTAAAAGTGCTGGGAATTGTAGCTGTGAGAGGGAAACAGCAATTCCCAGGATTCTCTGGGTGAAGAAATATGCATTAACTGTGGATTAAATGCATGTGTGGATGTGACAGATGATTCTCCACAACTGGGATGAAAAAGTTGAGGTATAAAATGCACTGTGGAGGAAGTGTTTCACCTTGCGAAGCAAACAAATCCAGTATAAGATATAGTGCACTAGCAAAGGCCAAGTCTTGTTTATTTCAAGACAGTCTGAGACCCACATTCTCCTAACATTAGCTCATTGTGAACAATACCTTTACTACAAAAAGTTCAAGTGGAAAAGGGTGAAACTTGGCATAAACTAGGAAACTCAATGCTGGGCATAATTAAAAGCAATTGTAAGTAAAACATATATTTAAATTATGGCTTTATTTCTAATCAGGAAGTGAGATAGTTTTGTTCCAAATTAGGCCAGATTCAGTTGCATCTGTGGAAAATAAGTGAGATGCTTTGAGGTCAATATGAAAAGAAACAAGATGATATATCATTCCATCAAACTCAACTATGAAGTCTTTGAATGCCTTTTCCATTTGCAGTCAATGCTTGATTTGAATTGGCGAAACAGGATTTTTTTTTTAAAAAAAAAAACCTACCTGAAAATATTCCAGATAACATTTATGGGGAGTGTATCTTATTTTTGAGATATTTTGCTTTCTGTTTATTCATTTGATGCAACTTTGTTTTTTAAAATAATATCTATTACTATTATGACTTGATCAGATAGATATAATTCTCAATGCACCTCCAAACTGATCTGTCTTTATGAAGCTACAATTTTATTAGAAAACCTTTTTCTCCCACCTAAAATTAGATCCCAAGGAAGGAGAACCTCTTTGGAAACCATGCCCAAAGTCAGGATGATTTGTTAACCAACATCTTCAACACTGCTTTTCCTTGACCAGTGCTGCAACCAACACTTCTAGAATATCCTGGAGTTCCTGGGTCCCTGGAAGTGGACCCTTTCAACAAGGTTTTAGTTGCAGCAATTGTAAGCAGTACAACACCACTTTCAAGTTAACAGTTCTAAAGGTCTTTAACTACAGATAAAATTGGGTCCCAAAGTCTGTAAAGTATGTATTCAGGGGGAACTAGTTGATATGGAAACTGAACCTGCTCTGTCTTCATTGAGCTATTTTTTTGTTATCCCCAATAGGAGTTTCTAAAGATGTTTGTACGTCTGCCAGCTGACATTACTCTCTTGTGCAAATAATGTTGCTTAACATAAATTTGGAGTGGCACCGACATCTGAACATTGGAAAGAGAAGGGAAAATGTTTTGCATTGCCAAGGGTATCCCTGGCCTTGAAAACCTATATTTATTAATTATATTATTATTATTATTAAACAGGATTAAACAAAAATCATGGAGTAATAATGGTCGGCCAACTGCTATAAGTCATGACAGCTGAAATGGACCTTCCACAGTCCACAGCTGAATTGCAGGTGCTGAGGAAAAGCAATGAGGGAGAGCTAGTCTTGCCTATATCGAAATATCTGCCTCAGAAGGCCTATTTCAGTGCCTGTCAGTAAAGGCTTTAAACTGGTTAGCACACTTAACAGGGCCTTCTCAGCAGTGGCTCTGCAACCAGAAGCCAATTCCCCATCTCTTTTCTCAAACAGTGTTGTTTGGGGTGGGGCATGAGAGAGGGTAGTTATCTACTATGGTATTGCTGAATGATTTTTTCTACTGGTGGTTTTAATGTTGGTTTATCATTGCTGGCTGTGTTTTAAAAGGTTTTATGGAATGGATTTGTATATTAAAATATTGCAAGCTGCTCTGTGGAAGATTTCTTCCAGAAGGAAGGAGAAACCCCTTAAATAAACAAGCAAAACAAACATGCCCTGCTATGTGCCTTTAGACATCTGGATCAAAATTTGTTTGATCAAATTTAACTTGATTTCCTCTTTTATCTTTAGCACTTATGTCTAACCTGGATTACAGTGTAAATTAGGAATATATTACTGTAACTATTACTGTAAATTACTGTAACTATTACTGTATTACTGTAACTATCTTCTACGCTAGCTGCCACCAACCAAGTCCCTCCAGATGTTTGGAACATCAACTCTCATCACCTCCAACCAACATGAATGTGTTGGCTGGCAGGCAGGCAGGCAGAAATGAGAGTTGTAGTGCAAAACATCTGGAGAGCCCTATATTGCGGAGGCTATTATGCACTTCTGTATAACAAAACACTTGTATCTTACAAAATTCTATATATTCATCGTTTCCTTAAATTCAGAATGAGATAAAACTTCTCCCAAATGTATCCATCATATACAGCTGATGCATAATTTCTCACAAGGAAAAAAAAGCCATGAATTTTGACTAAGTGGGTTGGATCCACAGTTAGTTATTTATCCTTCCATTCCTTTGAAGTGAATGGGACCTAAGTAGGTCACTTAGTCTGGATCCAACCTGCATATCAAACAGCATATCAAAACAAGGCATTATTTAATGTTCAACTGTGTTCTACAACACAAACCACATTTTTATCACCAGACATCTCGCCCACAATTCAAAAAGCAGAATTAAACCAACAAATCCACGCTTATTTCAATGAGTTCTGCTGGATTGTGGCCCTTGTATCTGTCAAATGTCCAAGCATGGAAATCTAACATTTTAACTGCACATGAAAAATGTATTTTTAAATACCTATTAATCTAAAGTTAGTTTATATAAAAACAAGAAACATAGATAGCAATGGACAGGCTGGTGGTACATGTTTTACACAAAATCTTTCATTTGAACAAGAGCAAATTGATAAAAAGACAGAATATAAACAGGCAGAATGCTTCAAAAATAATACAAAAGTTCAAAAATGTCACTTTTCAAAGAGGCATTCCCCCCCATATGTCCCACAAAAGATTTCTATTCAATGCTGCTGTCCTTAATCCTCACATTTTATAACTGGCACTGATCCAGCATCTGAAACAAGGCTGCAGTCACTCCCCTATTCCCCAGTAGGGATCTTCAGATGGTCCGCAGAACACCCAGAGTCAGCAGAGGTACTCTGACCTTGAGCCTTCACTTTTGAAGGTCATCTGAGAATCCATACTTGACCTAGAACACAGCAGTAGTCTTTCTGACTCATCGGTGTTCCGCCGAGCCCAAAGCTCCCCACCTGCCACCACGGAACGTGGTTTGAGGGAAAGGGTTTCAAATTTGACGTAAGTCTCTTTTTCAAGGTCATCTTCCCTGACAGGTTTTGGTTTCCTGTGAAGCATTAAGACTTTATACAGTAAGAAAAATATCAACGGTAAGACAACGGCACAGGCCACCCCACCAGCTACCAGCAAAATGGGAATCTGATAATCATCTTCCATGGTAATTCCATCAGTGGAGAAAATGATGCATTGGTCCTTCGTAGGTGGGGTCCCTTTGGGAACAACACAGGCCATGTATTGTGTGCTGGGTTCCAAACCATCTATGGTGACTTTGTTTTTCGAGGGGTCAGTGCTCAGGGGCAGCATGTCTTTCTCCCCATACTTTGAGTACAACACAGTCAAAGAAGAGTTGCTTGTGACACTGGCAGTTTTCCATGTTAAGGTCACTCTTTCGTCAGTTTCAGGAATTACTCTTAGGTTTTTTACTGCACCGTTTTTTTCAGCTCCTGCTGCTGCGCTGAGGGATGTCCCGTCATCCTTCTTGCTGACATCACCTGGTTGTTTCTTGCCTCCGTTTGTATTTGATTTGGCGTTCTTTCTTCCATCTGGCATTGACTTGGGTGGTTTTTTGTCGCTGCTTCTGTCAGTTGTAGGCCTTTCACTGGTAGCCACTGTTGTAGGAGAAGAAGTGCTTGTAGGCAGTGTTGAAGGAGAAGCGGTGGTTGCATTCAAGGATTCTTGTTTGACCTCTTCCTGGGTGGTGTTTTGCTGGTCTGCTGCAGTCTTTTTCCCGTACTTTTGTGGAGAAACAGTTGTGGTGACAACGCCAACAACAGTGACTGTAACAGCAGCTTCTGACATTCCAGCCAAATTTTTGGCCTTGCATCTGTAGTCACCTGCATCCTTGTAGGAAATGCCGGTCAAGCTGATGATGGACCATCTTACACCTTCACCGGGACTTTCTTGAATAACTGGAAAACAATTCAATGCAGATGAGTATGATAACCTGAACACGAAGCAGCAGCATTCATACTACCTTAGTGTGCTTTTTGTGGTGTTACAACATACATTTCAAATGTGAAGGAACTTTTTTCATAGGGCTACAACATTTCACTGATTAAGATCAATCAGTTGATTAAGGTCAACCCATTAAAAACCTTTAAGTCTGATTAGTCAGACATCATCTTAGAAGAAACATTTCCCCTGCAGTATATTGTATTTTAATCCAAAATCCACTGGACTCTGTAGTACTTGATTCTACACAAATATATGCAAGGGTAGACTGTAAATCTGTTTCAGGTATGTGAAACTGGTTGAATGGCGCAGGATCCAAGTCAGCCCTACATACAATGATCTATAAAAACTGATTTCCTGTTCTGCCTCTCAGACCAGCAGCATCCAATACAAAATATCTAATACATTTCTAAAAGGAAACACAGACCCGGAGTAAGTGCCTGGAACCCCTGGAATTTCACACCGCTTGGAGACTGGGGTGGTGTTCAACATAAGGAAGGCGAGGGCAGCAGAAGCAGCATCATTTATATCCCTGCCATCCATTTCACCACACTTCCTCTCTACACATGAGTAATGCACGAAGAGGGCTATAGTGGCTGGTCAAGACTATCCAGTGAGCTTCATGGCTGAGTGGGCATTTGAACTTGGGTGACTCCAGCCCACCACTCTTGATGACTACACCCTTATTTTGGTTCTCAATGATCTCACAGGTCACTGTCAACCCAAGGTAAAATGACCTCTTTTGCTTGAGACTCAATACCTGTATAGTTCACCGGCACATTGTCTGACCTAACCCAGGTGAGTTGTGGGGTGGGATAGCCAGTTGCATCACAGCGCAGTAGGACGTTGCTTCCCAGGGGCGAGGTGATCTTTGTGGCCGAAGTCATGACGGATGGTTTCAAGCACTGTTCCAGCTCTGCTCTTTGGAACAAAATCCCAGCCAGGCTCTCAGGTCCACTGCAAGCCACAAAAGGGTCCAGAAGCAAAATGGCGGTATCCACAATTTTGGAAAATTCAATTAGCTTGGAAATCCGACAGTCACAATACCATGGGTTGTCCTGCAAGCCTGAAAACAAAAGAACAGTATGCTCATAGTCTTACCAGCAATGCAACTCAGCAGTTAAACTAGGGCTGTGTACATACCCCCATTTATTCTGCATCCAGGCCGTGTACATATTGCTGGCTTAAAACACAGCTAGGCTGTTCCTTTTCTCAATTCGGATCAAAGCTAGCTTGGAAGAAATACAATATTTCATAAGAAATGACAGCGAAGGGCCATAGCTCAGTGGCAGAGGGTCTGGTTTTCTATAGTGGCCAACTGAATGCCTTCCAGGGATCCACAAGCATGAGGAAAATACCAACCGCCAGCTTCTGCGGGCAACTTGCTTACACAGCCAATGCAGGAAGGTGATGGGCAGAAGAGGTGAAGCCTGCTTTCTGAAGGCATCAGTTACGTGGGCAAGTTCTTGGCAGGGATAGGAGCATAGGAAGCTGCCTTATACTGAGTCAGACCATTGCACAGCTGGGACAAAGGGCAGGGAGCCCAACAGTAGGTAGAGAAAATGAAAGGCAGAGCAAGCTAATTCTAGCCTTGTCCCCATCCTCCTCCCTCCCGAGTTTCTACAGGGTCAACTCTGAGACTCGGGAGGAGGAAGCCAACAGGCAGTGCCAGGCCCTGGAGTGGTTGTCAGTAGGAAAGTGGGCTTTGAGGACTCAAGGCTCAAGTTGGTGGGTGGTGCCCCATTTTCCCTAACAGAGCAGCCTCCACTAGACACAAGAGGCAATGTCTTAGCAAGTCATGGAAGTAAAGAGGACAGGTAGCAATGGGCCAACTGCTTGAAATATCTTCCCATTGTACTTTCTTGTTTCAGCCCACTCCAAAATTTGAACCACATTACACTCCAATAAAATAAGGATGAGTCCAGGTACATCTCACTAACCAATCAATGTCCCCCACCAATCTGTGTGCCTCATTTTGCTGCCTGCTCCCCTTTTTCCTCACACTCAGATGTATCTGTCAGTAGTGACAACAGGAATTGCAAACTCTTAAGTTTGTCCTTACAAGCTCTTTAGGAAGCGTAATAGCTAAGTGCTAAAGCTTCTTCTTTGCATGCAGGTGGTCTCCAGTTCAATCCATGTCATCTCAGGAGAGAACCTCGCCTGACATCCTGGAGAGCTACTGCCAGTCAGTGTAGAAGATACGGAGTGAGATGAACCAATAGTCTGACTCAGTAGAAGGCAGCTTCCTATGTTCACTTAATTCCAAACTTTGATGCTATCATTAGAGTAGAAGGCACCAGTAAATATCTTTAAACCCGTGCAGACCTGAACATTGCTAAAGGGCCCAGCAGAGAAATTCAGAAAGAATAGGCGCTACCAAACAGGAGAAAAAAAGATGGGGGAAAAGAGAGACAAAAGCAACATTCTAGGCATGAATCTCTATTGCAGCTGATTCAATAAATGAATCCCTAATTCAGGGCAGTTGTGCCCCAGCTCCCTTGTGCAGAAACAGCACAAGGAACCTTAAATGGCTCCCATAATTTACAATACTGAGTTTTATTTTAGAATTGGAGGTGCAGGACTTTTGTTTTGTTGGCTTTTGGCACTGCCAATTCTGCATGCAAAACAAGATAATACCTGATATTGAATCAGGATCAGCAGCAATGATTTATGAGAAGATAGTGCGAGAGAAGAATCAATCCGCAGGAGAAATGAGAAGTGATTTAAAAGTCATGTGTACAGCATAACCTTCAGAGTGGGGCATTCAGAAACTGGTGCTCAGTTCCAACTATAAAAGGAACAGCACCCTCTGCTGAACAGCGATTTGTACTACCTAAGTTGTCTAGCAAAGTCACCCGCAAGGATAACTTTGGAATTTGGACAACCCAAAAAAACGTGTTTCCCAAAGTGTAGGGCATGCATCCCTGGGGATACATGAAAGGGTCTTAAAGGGTGCGCAGCAAAATATTTTTATTTTACTTTATCATAGTTAAATCGTATTATTAATACTACCCCCAAATTATATTTGTCTTAGAAGGGGTATTCAGGTAAGACTAAAGTCTCAGCAGGGGTATGCAATTCTTGCAGGATTAGGAAACACTGCTATATAACATACAAAGTTAGCAAACTGATTCTCTGAATGTGGACAATGGTGCGTATTTGACCTGGCACATATTTGTATGTGCTACTTGAACAGCCCATCACTGCACAGGAGAGATGTAACAGCAGGCTTTGTGAAACCTCAAGAGTTGCCCCCATATTAATATGCATATTTGTAAAACACATGTGCAAAAGTGCAATCTTTAGAGGGGTGGGAAACTAGGGAGCCCACTCCAAAGCTGCTCTGTGAGGAGCTCAAAGGACATGGAATACTGACTGCCTCTTGAAGAAAACAGAAAACTGGGGTTGGGAATTGAATGGAATGTCCTGGAAAAGAGTATCCTGAGCAGAATCACATGACACTGCTACATTTTGTTGCAGAATCCACATGTGCGGTTATAATACCAAAGCCAATGACTTTGTGTATGCCCCGCCCCCACCGGATCATGAATGGAACTTTTGTCAGGTCAGTTCCTTTAAGACGCTTAAAGCAAACATGTCACAGCAATGCACATCTGCAGGGGGTTCTGGTCAGCACATCAAAAGCTCACAAGGCACACAAGCAGTGGCAGTGTTTCCCGCTAGTCAGCAAAGCAGACCATAGGAATTGTGGGTGCTCCAATCAACACAATAGATAGCATTGATCAAAGTATTCTAACCAAGTTCCAGATCTTGCTGTTCTCACATTCCTTTCATGCTAAAATGCCAAACTGAAATTTAGGGAAACAGCAGTGCAAGAAATGTATGGCCAGAACCATTTTTCAATGGCCCAGCGACTCATTCAAGATTCATGCCAGCTGGCACAGTTCAAAGAAGGAATTTCACGATATTTGCCGGCTTACCTAATATGACCCTCTGTATTATGGAGTCTGCATTCCTGGGTTCTGTGTTTCTGGGCAATCCTGTTTCAGAAAAAGGAAGCAAGATATCCAAGATGTCTGATGGCAGAGAGGTTAATTTGTTGCTAGATATGTCCAGGTAAGTGAGATTCCTCAGATATTTGCCGGCCTCAGCAGGAATGCTGGTCATTAGGTTGTTGTGTAAGTCAAGTGTTCGGAGGTTAGGCATCTCAGCCAAAGATTCCCAAGGGAAACTCGACAGCAAATTCCCATCCAGGCGCAATTCATGCAATAGTTTTAAATTATAGAAGCTGCTCGTGTCAATGTTTGCTATAGAGTTGTAGGTAAGCCACAGGTATTTGAGATCCACCAGGTAGTAGAAGGCTTCAGTCGGGATCTTTCGTATGACAGTCTTTTCTATCCGGAGTTTCACTGTATCCACTGGAACGTTTACAGGTATCTCAAACATATCAGGATCATTGCACAGCACAGACCTAAAGTCAAACAAAAAGAAAGAGAGGCGATATGAATTGTTTTCAATGAAATTTTCAAGGAACCCTATTTCCCTCACAGCTGCAAGTCCCATAGTAGTTTAACAAACAATCCCATGAAACTCTGGGGTTTATAGCTCTTTGAGGGCAACAGGGGTCTCCTAAAAACTCCTAACAAACTACAGTTCCCAGGATTCTTTGAGGGAAACCATGGCTGTTTAAAGTGGCATGATACTACTTGAAAAGTACGGTGTCGATAGGGCCGTAGCACAGTCACATGATGGCAATGGGTGCAAGATGGGCCTTTTCGCTTTGCCAACCTGTGTTGCAGACAGGCATCTTCCTCTTCCTCACCCATCTTCTGCCCTGGCATGTGACAGTGGTTACACCACTCAGTTAAGCCCCATTGCTGCTAGCCAAGGGTTTGGATTACAGCCTAACCCAGTCAATAGCACAGTATAAAGGGGGTCATGATAACCCAGGCTTCCTCAACCTCATCCCTCCAGATGTTTTGAGACTACAATTCCCATCATCCCTGACCACTGATCCTGCTAGCTAGGGATCATGGGAGTTGTAGGCCAAAAACATCTGGAGGGCCAAGGTTGAGGAAGCCTGTAATAACCCTTCAAACCCTCATGTCAAGTCCGCTCTTTCACTGCAGGTTGATGTTAAGTGAGCAGAGGAGGATGTAGCCTACACCAGAGGAAGCCCACATGGTGCTGAACAACACTGGCTGGGGATGACAGGAATTGGAGACTGAAAACAGATGGCAGCAACCACTCTTCGTCCCCACTGGTCTCACACCAAACCGATTGCCTTCAGCCGGTGTTGTGGTCCTTCTGAGGTACACATACAAAGTGCCCATGACACACTTCCTCCAAATTGGGTGGGCACAACAGTCTCAGACACTCACCTGGCCTGATGTTTCAGGCAGATTTACTTGAGCATCAGCTACTCTCCTCAGGTGTAAGAAAAGAGCTGAGAGGAGGGCAGATGACACCGTCCCTCACCCTACTCCTCTGCTTAACCATGTGCTCCCCTCACCTGCCGTCTGACGGTACAATAGTACCATCTAGGAACTGGTTCAGCCCCTCATTTTTTATTTTCTATCTATCCCTAGGCCGTCTTTCAGGGCAAAAGCCCTCACAAGGCAGTTTACATTTAAAACAACAATAAAACCCAACATCACATTTCAATAAAAATTTGATCATTCAAAGCCTAAAACACCACACAGGAAAACAGCATGATACACTTAATAATAATGATGATGATAAAATGTAATCAGACATGCTATGTGTCCTTTAAGAGAAAGCCATCCAAAATAAACTGGTTTTGAAAACCAAGTTATAGCCTCTACTACTGGGGCCATAAGCATATTACTCAAGATTTCAACAAGGCCTTGTGCCTAACAGTCTCAACTGCCGTTTGTGGTATCACCTACCAGAGGCCACAAGCAGAGGCTAAGCACGATTCAAGAAGTAACACAGGCACGGACAACGCCAGATGGCTGACAGCATACATGATTTAACTATTCTTATTAAGCTGCCATAAGATTGCAGCATATTTGTGCAAGAGAAGAACAACTGCACAATTCATAAAGACAAACCCCTTTTCTAACTGACCACTAATTCCATGAATCTCCAACCAGAAAAACACTAATGAGTTCACAAAAGGATTATGTAAGAACAAATGGTGAAAACAAAACCTTAAATGTGGAGCACCAGAGCCAAAGAACCTTCAAGCACAATTTCTAACATATCTAGACTCAAAAAGCATCTGGAATGCTTCTGAATTTATTTTCTGAAGGAAGGATTTTCAAAACCACTTCATCTAATTGAGCTGACATTTTGTTCCCTTCCCCCACTCGATGGCATTTGGGAGGATAAGGCAGTGCAGTCCAAAGCATATCTACTCCCACTGCAAACCGGTATAAGATTGAAGCATATTTGTGCAAGAAAAAAAGAACTGCACAAGTCCTAAAACCAAACCCCTTTTCTAGCTAACCATTATACTTTAGTTTTCTAAAGCCAGATATATAAAAAAAATAAACTAAATGATATTTGCAGGTGCTGAAAATAACCATCCTCTCATGAATTCCACGAAGCTACTGAGGCAGGGTCCAAAAAGGCTAAGCCTATCATATTAAAAATATCATTTTAGAAATTCTAGACAGTTGGATTTTTACTTTCATTTGTGTTTTACCTTATGCTGCACCATCCATTATTTCCAACTGTTCTTAACATTTGTTCGTCACTTTAAGCAAATCAATGTCTCAAAGCCACTTACGATAAAAAAACCCAGATAAAACCAATAAGAAGTCAACTATGTAGCAAACAATGTAATACAAACTGCAGACGTTTGTATTGCTTTTATGTCCTTTGTTTGTCCCAAATAAGGTACAATACAACTAAATGAACATTGTTTTCTTTTCCAAATTGAGAATAAAAGACATGTTTTGAATCTATCATTACAAATTGTGTTGAAGTTTCCAGGACTTGGCTTCACTCCAGTGGTGTTGCTGAGGACCCCACCGCCCACCGAAGAAACAGGCTTCTGTCAATGGATTGCCCCACCATATTTGCAAATAATTGCTGTGGGGCCACAGGATCCACTGCATCCTGAAGCCTGGGTTGCACAAATAGTTTATGGCCTACAATCAAGTCCCTGAACCTTCTCTTGGCTCAGTGCACCATCCTTCTCTATTCCACCAATTATCTGCTTGGAATGGAGCAAAGCTGAAATTCGTGGGCACGATTGCTCTCATAGAATTCTGGACCTGGATATCAGTATCTTCTTTGTTTCAAATCTGGCTTCCCTACAGAATGAATAACTGTAAAAAAGTGATGTGAACTGACTAGATGTTCTTTAAAACTACTTTCAAAATACTGGCATTGCAGAAGGATGTAGATTCTAGGGGCATTTGTCCCAAGCAATGAAGGAAACAGTTCTATACTCACGTACCAGTAAAGCCACAATGAGTATAGTGGGGGTTACTTCTGAGTAGACATGTATAGGCTTGCATTGACATTTCCCCCCTGCAGTTTCAGCCCCTTTTACTGCAATCCAATTAGATCAGACTTTGCAGCCAGCTACCTTGCCTATGCACGTAGCTTACTATAAGAGTGCAAAGCGGGGTGGGGGGTGGGAATTCTAATTTCTCCCCTGGTATATTAATTTGCTACAGAAATAACTTGCAAAGCGCATGAACCACTGTAGCATTTACACCAATCACTAGTAGCATTGGATGTTTTTCTGAAATTTCATTGGCTGCTTTCCTGTGGTTGTACTGAGTAGCATTTTCTTTGGAACAGAAAAGAAAAGCCTACCTTGTTCCAGTGTCGTCCCCTCTGCCATGATAGATGCAAGTGCACTGAGATGGGCAGAAACTATCGACTTCTTCCAAAAAGCTCATCACAATGCAGACAGCAGCAATCAGATACATGACTTCCTTCCAGGACAATTGATATACCCAAAACCTAAAATCTTTTATTCCTAGGCACTCCCTCTGTGTGCCACGACTGTGAACATAGGCATCCATTTAGTAAGAGCAGATTACCCTGGATTAACCAAGAGCTGCAGTTACTTAACCTTCAAATGTATTCTGCAAAGGATCAGTTGAAACAGCTCGCTCCTTATTGTGTCAAAGGAGGAATATATTACCTTTAAATTGCAACCATCCTAAAGAAGGACTCTTTAAATATCAAATCAAAAACTGAAATTAAAGCAGGGAAATGTCACCAGAGTAATGCACAGTTTAGACAGCCATTGCAAGTAAAACACTACCTTTTTATTTTTTTAAAAATGCTCTATGCTTTGAATAACTGTGAAGCACACCTATATCACACAGCAAAAATAAAACACAAAATTGGCAGAAGCACAGAATGGGGACAAAAATGCTTTTTGACTGGGTGCTATTGTAAAAGACCAATTATTTTAAATTAACAGCTGAATAAAATTAGCTGTATACAGATGGAGACCCATGAAGCATAAAGGAACTGATAATCATTTAATGAAATATACTTACAATTAGTAGCAGATGGTACCAATAATCTGAGTGCAATAATCTTGAAAAGTGGCTTCCTGTTGATTAAAAACTTAACTGTTTGTCCTTTGTTCTTCTTTAAAAACGATCACATATTTGCTTTTTTAAAAAGCACAGATTAGCTATCAGATCTAATTACTTTCTTTCAGAATAGTTTCAGTAAAAATCACTTTGAAGCATACAAGAACTGGGAAGAGAAGGTGTATTGCTCGCTACTGTTTTTCTGGTGACATTTGTTTGCTTTTAAGAAAAGAAACAGGAATATTGGCTGTTTAAAAATATACTTGTTACTGTAATATGGTTTATATTCTTGATGAAAATGTACCATCCCCTCCTCCCTCAACCTAACAGGTACAAAACTGACTAATAATTGTGGGAAAGGATATAAACCAGTCAAAAACACTAATCTCTGAAGTCTTGATTTTTATTGATGTTTTATTATAGATACTAAGGGCACACGCCTATGAAATATTGTGCTTGTACAATGAACCACAAGGGTCCTTTTGCTAATACAATGCTGCAGCAGATAGCTTGGCACCAGGGGGCAGCAACCATACAGCCTGGGCCAGCCAGGACCCTGGTACATCTCGAGGATAAAATATATGGTGCTTGTTACCATCATAGCTACCACAGGATCCAGCTATGGAGTCAAATGACTTGAAAGTAAGCAAAGGCCTTGTAACACAACTACCCGCGAAACAGATCAGACTTGCTTCTTTCCAGGGATTCGGCAAGCAAGTAAACATAGAGGCAATGCTTTCCATCAGCATCCTTAGGTAATTGTGCTTTGAGACGCACTCATTGGCAAGAAGACATGGTTGATTGTGATCTCCTGCCGTGTTTGACATCTGACCATCGCAAAGATGGCCCTTCGAAACCTGAAAGAGGGAGAAATTCTTTCAGTGTTGGATGCATGAACTCAGTGCCAATCCCTCGAATTCCACGAATTCCACCTCCAAGAAGGCCACCCATGAGCTTCACCATCCAAGTCCAGCAGTCTAACTACTGCATCACACCAGAACTCTCACATTTACAATTATAACACATTCTCTCCCCACAGAATCTCCACCTCTTAAATTGTGGTAGAAGTGAACCACTTACTTTTTGTTCGCAATGACATAAATACAGGGATTATAGAATGTGGAGGACTTGGCAAATAATGGTGCTATAATTGCCATGGCAGGAGAAATTTTCCTGGGATCCCCAAATGAAGACCATAAACACACGATAGAATATGGTGACCACGCCACCAGGAACATTAAAATCATGACAACAGACATCTGTAAAGGAAAATGAACAAAGTGTGATGTCCCAAAATATTTTCAGTTCTGTTCTAGCATCTCTTTGATCGTTACCTCAGACCTTCATTCTATCCAGTCTCCCTTTTTTGTTACAAGCCCATCTAAGGTTGGAATAAAGTAGGGATGGAGAGACACAGAGGAGATGGGAGGACGTGGGAGGAGGGAGGCTTGAAGGAGCTGTGAAGATATGGGGGTTTTGTGAAGTGAAAAGGAAGGAATTTGGTTTGGAAAGGTGGATGGCGAGGAGTGGCAGAGTTGTCAAGCGACATGAGCAGGGGCGGCAACCCCTAGTGCAGTGTTTTTGGACTACTGTCATCCCTAACTAGCAAGACCAGTGGTCAGGGATGGTGGGAATTGTAGTCCCAAAGCAGCAGGAGAACCAAGTTTGGGTAACAGTGCCCTAGGATATTGTATTTGTGTTTGGCATGAACATATGTAGCTCAGTGATAGAGCAACGGCTTTTCATGCAGAACGTATGGCTAGGAAGCCCCCTTTCTAAAACCCTGGGGAACCACAACCAATCAATCCAATGAACTTGATGGACCTATAGTCTGATACAGTCTAAGGCAGCATCTTATGATCTGATGATTTGTTTCAGCACCTCAACGTGCAAAATAAACTGATTTCCTCCCCACTGAAACAGAAAAGGGAGCTCTGCCAGAATGACCATACCTTTGTTACATCTACTTGATCAGACCAATCTATGTTGATGCTCTCCAGGCAACTGCTTCTGGCGTACCGCTTCATAGTTCGCGAAACATTGAAGTAACAGTAAAACATGACTGATAGCGGGATGACAAAGTTAACGGCAATCACAGACATCGTGAAAGAAACAAAGGATCTGAAAGTGGAAAAAACACGAAAATGATTATTAGAAAACACCACCTTTCATCCTGGTTTAACTGTAAGATTAGAGTAAAACATTTTATGTACTGTGCAAGATGTTCTAAAAGTGTTTTTTTATACTGTACCCATCAATAGTGGCTCCATTTTGGCTGAGTTTAGACACACAGCCTCAAATCCTATACTCACTTAATAGGGAGTATTTCCCATTGAACCCAGTAGCACTTACTTCTGAGTAAATATAAAAAAGGATTGTGACCTTCACAACTGCCCACAAGCGTTTGTTTACCCTTGTCAACAGTAAGGGAGTCAGACTCTCCTGAGTCTCTAACTCCAATCTATTCATGGTGCACTATGAAGACTTTAAATATTGCTTTTTAATAAAATAAAAACCCCTTACTTTTATTTACGATATAAAGCAAAATAATCAAACATAATTTTAATATAAAATCAATACTATATATATATATCCCCCATGTTTTATATTCTTGGAGGAGAAAACAGAGTTTGGAAACCTTTCTTGCCCTCTTTAGAAGCTCTTTCCTCCTCACCAACATCTCAATATTTGCCACCTTTTATGGTGAGGCTGCACTGACACAAGCCCAGTACAAATTTACGAACAAACACACACACGTACTACCCGACAAGTCAAAACATACGCATCGTTTTTCCTCCAGTTCACTGTACAGGTAGCTCCAGTTGGATCTGGGGCATAGCTTGCCCAGCCCACAATCGGCATCGAGGCCCAAAAGACTGCATTGATCCAGGCAGCAAGGATCAGAACTGTGTAGTTGTTAGCAGTAAGTCTACTACCTATGGAGACAAAACAGTGATACCTCTGTTTATTCTCCCTGGTCGCTTATAACATTTTGCACTGAAGTAAACACAGTGTTTTAGTGATAACAAAACTGTATAAACCCATAAAAATACAAAGTTAATCTACATTTATTGTAGATCTACACAAGAAAGCCCTCAGACATATTAATACCCAAATTTTATATTGGCTTCACACAGTTAATGAAATGGAAGCATTTATCTTCCCCTCCATCAACAAATTTTTTCAATCAAAAGCTGGCCCCCAAAAGAGAAGAGATGACAAAACACCATTCCCCAAAACCAGAGGTAGGGAACCTATCACCGCCCACAAGATGCTGTTGATCTGCTAAGTCCCATCTGCCCCAGCCTGAATGGCCAATGTTCAGAGATGATGGGAGATGCACTCCAGCAGCATTTGGAGAGTCACAGATTCCCCACACCTACCATGAACCTTTCACTAATAGGATTACCCCTGTACTTTATTTTCATTTATATCACACCTTTCTCCCATGATGGAATTCAGGGCAGCATGCATAGGATTAGGTTCAGCAAGGTAGCTTCATTGTGTGCCTAATCATAGGATTTTAGAGTTAGTAGAGACCTGAAAGGTAATCTATCCCAAGTTGCTCAGTGCTGGATCTCCAATGCAAGATATGTAAGTAAAATATTAAAATGGTGCTTTTGCCCACAAAACCATCATTTGGTTCCCCTGCTCCCAGATTATCAGTGCTCTGAGTCTTGTGGCTGCACTGCAGCCTATCTTGATTTATGACAAAACAAAATTTTAAAAAATCCTTCCAGTAGCACCTTAGAGGCCAACTAAGTTTGTTATTGTGAACTTTTGTGTGCATCCACACTTCTTCAGATACACACAGTATGCATGAACATGAAAGTTCATCCCAGTAACAAACTTAGTTGGTCTCTAAGGTGCTACTGGAAGAATTTTTTTTATTTTGTTTTGACTACAGCAGACCAACAAGGCTACCTACCTATATCTTGTTTTATGACAGTTGAATCTCCCTCTACACACACACCTACCCATGCAAACTGGTCACCAAGATTGTCTGCTTTCGTCTTCACCCCTTTCAATTTCTCAAGTGCCGGATATCATAAACCTTATTAAAATATGACTTGGTTAACTCTGTGTGGGTAACAAAGTTTCCAATGAACACTAATAAAGCAAACAGAACTGCTGGTGCTTTAAATAGCAAAACTCTGTAGCATTTGTTTGCTCAACTGGTCCTGCTATGTGTAAGCAACAATCAACTCAAGCATCTATAACAAAAAGTCTACATGAAAAATCAGATTGCATACAAAACCAGTTCATGAGTTTAGGCAATAAAATATAACCAAAACCTATATTGTGTTTTATACAGAAGTTGTGATATACTACATTTTTTGTGTGCAAGAATATAACATACCTATATGTGGCTTGCAGATTGTCAGGTAACGGTCAATTGCAACAACCGTAAGCAAACCAATACTTGCCATTCCAAAAAAGATATTTAAAGCAGCATAGATCTGAAATTGGAGAGATTATATAATCATTTTCAAGGAATAAGCGTCATTGTTTTCGAAGGTTTTGAACTCTGATCCTTGTTACTGTTATTTTTGCAGTTATTATGCATTGTTACATAAATCCACCCCAAATAATATCAAGTTTAGCTTTAAAAAATGTAACACTGAAGTTCCCGTGTTGGATTTTGGCTAGCTGAGCATTGTTATCTGTTGTCTACGTTAGCTATTTTAAATCATCAGCTATTTGTTCAGCTTGTTTTAAAAATCAGATATTTTAAAATAAGCTGAACAATGCTATTTGGGGACCAAAGGGTACTGTTTGACCTATAACAACATATACTTCATTCATAATTAGTTCCCCAAAGGATTGAACCTTCTTGCAGCTCCACCACCTATGGAGATCAACCCCCATTTGCTGAATCCTCTCCAACAGAGTGGACTAGATTGAAGATTTGTTCTGTGACTTTTTATAGGTGGATGGTGCTATCTATATACTCCCCCCCCCCCCCCGTTTTTTCTGGTAAATAAATTGCCATTTCCTGTATATTTTTTACTAATCTGACATTTCTCTGTTACAATTCCAGCATAGATAATACTGAGAAAAATGGACCACTGGTCTGACTCAGTCTCAGTGGGTTTACAACTAGTGTGCTACAGGCAACACTGGCCTCTTTCCTTCCTTCCTTCCTTCCTTCCTTCCTTCCTTCCTTCCTTCCTTCCTTCCTTCCTTCCTTCCCTCCCTCCCTCCCTCCCTCCTCTGTTTCCCTCTTGCGCCTCTGCCTCCCAAAGGCTTGCACAGCTGTTTGTTGCAGCAGCCTTGGTTACAAGCTCCCCAGACAATTGGTGCCTCTGTGGCTGGCCAAGGGATGCTGGCTGCCAGGAGCTAAGGAACTTCAGAGAGGGGGGGGCGGGATGACTGTGATAGCTACCTGGAGGACTCCCAAGGAGATGGGAGAGGAGAGGAGGCTGAGGGAACAAGGGAGGGTGTTTGAAAAAGGATAAGAGGCTGCCGAACAAGGGGTGACATAACTGGGCTAGTTGGTCAAAGGAGGTGTGGACTCAAAAGGTTTGAAAACCTCTGGCCTAAGGCATCATCTCAAGCTCTGTTTCCTGCTCCATCTGGCAGTAGTTTTTTATTTTCACCTACTCCCTGATCCTTTTAGCTGGAGGCACTGAGGGGCCTGTGGCATGTGAAGTGTTTTGCCCCTGTGCTGGGTCCCTTACCCACCAGGTCTTCTGCCCATTTGTCGCCCCTAATAGTCTTCGCAGCTGAAAAATGTTATGAATAGCTAGACAGTTGTAGGAGTCAGACGTTCTACTCTAGGCAGCCATCTAGTGGCAAGCCGAATTTAGTATGTGTTTTAACTTACAATTCTGAAATGCCTCATTTCCAGCTTGCAGAGGGGTAGCAGATAGCAAAGAGCTTTGTGCTATCTGAAAAGCTAACAGATTTATTGTGACATAAGCTTTTGTTCACTAAATTCTCTAGAACCTATTTTATCAGCTATTTGCTCTTTGGGAACATGCATACCCTCCAACATTTCTCCATTGAAAATAGGTACGTCCTATTCCATAATAACTGTGCCTCTGCTGTAACATATGGAGTGGCTGTTAGGTCTGCATCACTGTTTGTGCTCTGAATGGAACATGAACAATTGTAGGAATGGCCTAGATGCATCTCACTTGTTTACATGCATTCAAATCAATCAATCAATCAATCAATCAATCAATCAATACCGCCCTATTACACCCAGAGGTCTCAGGGCAGTTCGAAAACAAAATAAAAATATAAAACCACAAAATATATAATCAAAATAAAAAACAACCCAGTCACCCCCCCTCCCCCCAAAAACCCACATTTTAAAAGGGCTTAGGATGTCAATCAAATCAACCAAAGGCCTTATGTGCACTTCAACTGGAACAGGGATAAACACAAACATGCTTTGGTCTTTCATTTCTAAGTACCTGGCAGCCTGCATAGCCGAATTTCCAGCTTCCATGCAGATCTGAAGCTGCGGACATGGGGTAGCCAATCCCACTCACTCCAATGTCAGTGAAAGCCAGGTTAATAATAATGGCATTAGTTGCTGTTCGAAGTTCCTTATACTTAACAAAGATGCCTAGGACCACTATGTTACTCAGAAGACTTACGACTCCTGTTAAAAGACCAAAAAGGAAACTAAACAATAGCAAATAATTAACATTGGCATTCTGGGGAAAAAAACCAACAACTCTATTATGGCTAATTTATTAAGGGTATCCATAACTCAGCAAGGCATTGTTTTTTAAACATTTCTATAAAACTTGGAAATGTATGCTAATGTTAATATAGTCTTATAATGCTGTGTTGCAGGCTTTTATACAAAGCTCTTGTTTGTTTTGAAAATGGACGGTTTTCTTTACCTCGGCCCTTTCCAACTCAGAATTATTCATGCATTCAGCAATATTGTACCCAACGTACGCCCTGCTTTCCTCAAGACTGGATTACTGTAGTATGTTCTATATAGGGCTGCCTTTAAAAAGCATTTGGATCCTGCAGCTTACCCAAAGCAGTCAAAATAAATCATGGTCCTGTGTACAAATCAATGAGCAGAAACCATCCCATCACTGAATCTATACCCTTTAGGAACACAATCAAAGTGTTTAACAAGTTCATCAGTGGGATAGCTCAGTCGGTAGAGCATGAGACTCTTGATCACAGGGTCATTGGTTTGAGCCCTATGTAGGGCAAAAAGATTTCTGCAAGGGTTGGACTAGATGACTCTTAGGCCCCTTCCATCTCTACAATTCTATGATCACCAAGCCCTATTTTCAGCAGTAAGAATCAGCAAAGCATCACTATGTGCCCACAGGTCCAAAAAGGTTGGTGACATCTAATTTGCATCAAAGAGCTGCACTTCAGAAAACAGCTCCTTGCTTTCTTGGAAGCTTTTTTGTCTAAGGCAATACAGTCTGAAGCAAATAGAGCAACAATAAAACATTACTTCTTCATCAACATATACGCTACTATTTATTATAAGGTGTCAGACCGTCAGTGGGTACTCAGTGTATCTATATATATTCTCCTCCTACACAAAGCAACATAAGACACAAGCCCAGAAGATAACAGAACATGTTCAGCATTCCTATTGCTAAACAAACTCAAGTAGCAATGCATTTAAACAGAAAAGTTGTAGAATTTTGTCATTTGTTCAGTTTGTGAATATAAAAGTAATACTAAAATTTGAGCACTCTGGCAGTAAGATTAACTCTCAGATGGTATCGCATTTGTTACGCTGTCACATTGCCAATACAGTGGTACCTCAGGTTAAGTACTTAATTCGTTCCGGAGGTCCATTCCTAACCGGAAACTGTTCTTAACCTGAAGCACCACTTTAGCTAATGGGGCCTCCTGCTGCCGCCGCACCACCGGAGCATGATTTTTGTTCTCATCCTGAAGCAAAGTTCTTAACCTGAAGCACTATTTCTGGGTTAGCGGAGTGTGTAACCTGAAGCATCTGTAACCTGAAGCGTATGTAACCTGAGGTACCACTGTACTGCTCAGTGAGTCTTTCCTTAGAAGGAAAAGATTTGCCTCTAAGAAAACTGTGACTCAATTTATCGTGGTAAGACTGGCCGAGAGTGACATCTTTAAGCAAAATGGGTCGAAGCATTTATGATCCAACTGCTATAATGAAAAGCATCCACTTAAAAATATAGCACTGTAAGAATTTGAATTTTTTAAAACTTTTCTAAAAAATTATTTAATTGAAAAAAGATAGTGCAATATACCCGACCTATAGTAAAACCACCACCTACTCACAGAATGTGGAATCTTATACTGATGACAGGAGGTAGCCTTTGCATCTATGACAACCTCCATTGCTTTGCTGCGTAAAACAGCTCTCCAGATCTCCCAGTACAGCCACTGCTTCAGCCAAAATAGAGATGCTCTAGGCTTTTTGAGACTATGCAACAGGCTCCTTTAGAAGCATGGCAATGCTTGTTGTATATGTCATAATAAGCTACTCAATCTTTAAAGAGAATTCTTGCTCATACTGGCCACCTCCTTTACGGACCTAGAGCACACCTAGGGACCAAATGTTATTTCTGAGTGTCCAATATAGATACAAGTCTTCAACAAAACATATAGCTGAAACAAGGACCTATAGTTGGGAGCTTTTTCCTCACGAGCAATTCCAACATCTCCCATAAAATGCACGTAAGATTATATTAGGGGAAATCAATTATGACCAATCCATGCACAATGTTGTTTTTAAAATATATTCCATAACTACTGCTATGGTAAGTGGAGTTAGAGCTGTTGAAATAACAAGCCACTTGCTTCTTGAGGATAGTTTTCAGGCTGTATTGCTTAATCATTCACTGGCTGCCACTTGTGGCTGCAGCAGAGGACCCCAAAACCAAGAACAAGGCAGAGAGGAATGCAAAATGGGTGAACTCTCTGAGCTCTCAGACCATTCCAGCCTAGAACTAGCAAACAAAGAACTTCATATGGAGAAGCAAACATAGGGCTGAGAGCCAATATCCCTGCATACTTTTTATTCCTCAAAGCGACAGGTTGGAGACAAAGCCATTAATGTTCAGTAGACAAACAGAGGCCATTGGGACTTAAAGTTAGCCACGATTTCAGTTAGCCCACTCTAAGCAAGACTATGTCCTGGTCCAACCTTCTATCTTTATGATAAATGGCTCCCAGAACAGTGACAAACACATCATTTTACAAATCTAAATAAATTACATTTCTTTTGCAAGTTAACATGTACCATCCGAGTCACATCCACCCACATATATGCATATAGGGAATTGCACCCTTAATGTGCATGTTCAATACTTGTTTAAGATCATAGTTTTATCATTTCACATTTGATTGTTCTAAAACTTCCCTCTCTTTAGAAAATGCTGGACAAAAACCAATTAACAACTTTTTTTTGCACCTGAATAACACAGAATGCCTCTATTCCAAGTCTTAAATCCTGGTTTTTCATCCCCCTGCCACAAATTCCATCAACATTCATACCTGCTGTTATCAAATAAGCTGCAACTATGTTGTGCTCAGTCTGTGAAAAGGCCGAATGAGGTTCATTTTCACTTTCCGAAAAGTTAGCAGAATCATTCAAAAACATTGCAGGGGAAAGAAAATTGGAAAAACACCCTCCAGGGTTATCCTGTATATGGCCATTCGAAACACACACACATCCCCAGCTTTTGTAGGCAGATTCTTGTCCTGCAAAACTGACTATAAAAGTTCTTCCCTGCTGAAAAGCTCCCAAATGGATTTCCACTCAAGAGCAAAGGTGCACATTCCCAAACTATGAAAGGGGAAGGCTTGTTAGCTCAACAAAGAACAGCACAGAGCTGCAAGCGCATTTTTAACAAGATCCTTACGGTTCATGGCCTTATTACTAAAGAGATTAGCGGCTGCATAGGCCCCACACTTTGGACTTCACATTTTCTTTCTTTCAATGTTTCAAAAAACCCAGCAGGAGTTGATTGTTCATCATGTGTATGTTTGCATTTGAGAATTCTGAACCAAGTTTTTAAAAGCTATTAAGCAAAACAGTATCTGTAAAAAAAACCTATTGCAAAAGACAGGGCATCTCAATCTACAGTGGTACCTCGGTTTACGAACTTAATAAGTTTCAGAAATCCGTTCTTAAACCAAAACTGTTCTTAAATGGAGGCGCGCTTTCCCTAATGAGGCCTCCCGCTGCCCTTTCACCGTTCGGATTCCGTTCTTAGACCGAGGTAAAGTTCGCAAACCGGGACACTACTTCCAATTTTGCAGGGTTCGTAAACCAAATTGCTCATAAACAGGACTGTTCTTAAACCGATGTACCACTGTATTTGCAAGAAGAGGTTGAAGATTCACATCCTGATTTGAAATCCCAATTCGAAATACCTGTAATTTATCTGCTTTAAGAGCATCAACTTTGATTATTTGTCCATGGAGTCCATTATCTATATCAGAACTGTAGCTCAATGGCTCAGTTGAAGCCCAAGATTCAATCCTCAGCAAGTCCAGGTATGGCTGGAAAAGACTCCTAGCTGAAACTCTTCGAAGTTTCCTTGGTGGAATGGCATTCATAAAAACATCCAGGTGAGAGCACTTGATGTGTGACACACAGACCTGATGGCACAAGCAGCCAAGAGGCCAACCACATATTATGGATAGCTGTGTATGAGTGAAATAATGCCAGCTTCTTTCCTCCCTCCTGGTTCCAAGTTATTATGGTACATTCAAACCAGATATCTTGGTTTGTTTCACTCCCAAACAAATCATAATCGGTAAGTCAAGAACAAACCACAGCTACATATTATGGTTTGCTGGAAGTGAACCAAACCATGATACCTGGTTTGGACATAACACCAAGCAAGGGATCATATCTAAAAGGCTCTCTTAGATGTGTACACAATAAACAATTAACTATGCTTTACTGTGATGTGTGAATGGAAAAATGAATTTAGCACAAATGCCCATCAATTATACTTTTGAGCTTTAACCTAAGTTATTACCAATTTTATTTTTTAAAAAACAAGAAAACTTTTGTCATTTAGACATATCATTCATTAGACAGCCAAGTTAAATATAACTGCAAAAGCATATTCAAGTTGTTTTGATACAATTTTGTATGAATCCATGAACACTATTTGAAGATTGACAAAAACCAAAATACAAAGACGGATAATAAAAAAAAATATATTGAGCAGACCATCTTCTGTTATTGTTTAGGAAGTCACTGGTTTCCCAACTTCAAGATGAGTTTTTGACTAAAAAAATATAGCTCATAAAAAGTGTTTAAAAACAACATTCTGTTTAATGTCAAGAGCACAAGAGGTCCAAGGGGATTTCAAGAGAAGTATCTGTGGATCTGAAATTGGTTCATCTCAGCAGAAATCCAGGAACACGTGTGGCAGTACTTCACTCCTTTAGACAATAACGTATTAAAAGTCCACTTTACGACATTCAAGTTCCTAAAAAAGATCTCTCATTATATTCTGAAGATGAAACCATTAACTTGGAATTTCCCAGAACTTCTTCACTTAACGTCCTCTGCCTAATTTGAAAGAAAAACACAAATCAGATAATCATTGCCATCTAGCCTGGAAAAACGCAACAAGTTTTTATAACAAATGGGTCGGTGGTTGTTGTAGTACCTGCAATATTGTAGACATCTGCATTTGTGGTTTTAACATTCCACTGAAGCACTATAGATAACATTCTACCATTTACTGGTAGAAGTCTGGCTAGGTATTCTATCCTAGGCCAGCTTCACATGTGAGGATCTCCGAGAAAAGTAACATGAAATGGGGCTCCCAAGTGTTTCCCATCACTACCATAAGCACCTTTGCGCAGGATTACTACCAACAGTAGTAACAACACTGTTGTGATCCACAGCAAACACTTGTGAGACTCCTTCCGTATCGCTGTAACAATGCCCCAACATAGCAACATCCTACATGTGGGAACATCAAAATGGGCATCTTCCTAAATATTGCTTAACTGTTAGTGCCTTGACAAATTCAGGTGAGAGAATATGCTCAGCTTGGAGCGCCTACCCAAACAACAGCAAGCCCTCCTGGAGCAGCTGGACCTCTGCACCTCACCTGTCTCCATCATTATAAACTTCCAGGGCAAATTTGAAAACATTTCTGTTGACCCGGGGATTTGGTGGCTGAAGAATATTGTTGCTGCCAACCTCAAGATCATTGGCTCAAGTATGTTCCTAGGTGTAACTGCTTTTAGACATTTGCCATTGTAATTGTTTTTGGAATGCTGTAATCAGTTTAATTTTTTTTTGCTTTGCTTCTGTTTTGAAATTGTTTGCCACCCTGGACTACTTGGGGAGGAAGAGCCAGATATCAATTCAATCATCAGTCAATCAATCATGAATGATTCCGATAGCCTTGACTCTACTCCTGGTAGTTTTAAAGCATTTTACCATCAACAAACACTGTCCACACTGCAGAGGACTCCTCTGTTCATTCGCTACGGGGTTATGCTATATATTGTACAGAATTTCACTGGACCCCTTACCAGATCCTTGGAGCATCACCAGTGCCCTGTGCGTGAACTTAACATGCACCACAGAGCACATCCAACGCTCTCCTTTGGTTGCACATTGCTGGGGGGGAATGGGTACTTGTGAACAAGCTATTAAGAAAACCTATCATCCAGTAAGGATCAGGAGCTCTTGATAAATTTCCAAGAAACCCTAAGCTTTCTGAAACAGGTTTAAAACAATTACTTAAGTCACAGTAAGAGAAAGGTAGCTGAATATTGCATGGATATTGCATGGAAACAGTACCATAGGTAATTAACTCCGTAATGTTGCCATTATACTTACCTCTAAATCCTCGGCCACCTCCACCACCTCGTCCTCCTCTGAACCCTCCACCACCTCTGCCACCCCTGAAACCACCTGGAAAATAAAAGCAGAAATTATTAAAAGCACAATAAAACATAGGCATATTTTATGACAGCAATGAGGCAGTACAACTTCCAAAACCATCAGGAACATCTTGCTTCCAGACCTGGATTTTCAAACTTTTTTGGGGGGTGGGGAGAGAGAGAGAGAGATATCTACCACCTTATTGCATGCATCCAGACAACAATACCTACCTCCCCCTCTGCCACCTCCACCTCTGCCACCTCCTCTTCCACCACGGCCTCCTCTTCCACCTCTCGGAGGCCCTTTTTCACCTGGAGGCCTTGGCAAAAATCTCTGCAGCGGGAGCAATTTTGCTGGATCGATATAAAACTGTGGGGGAGGGGGGGAGGGAAAGGCCGAGGTTAGGTTTTGTCCAAAACCTTTCTTACATGTGTATATAACTTAAAAGTTAGAGTAAACAAGTTTACTTTAGATTTAACAGCTAATATTAGAACTAGGTGTTGCTGTAACCCTATGTTTCACTGCTTTCTTGATCCATGTATAGTCATCAACACGTCCCACTGAAACAAATGCTAGACATATCAAGTTTCACAGCATCATAATGATGATATTTATTTATTTCCTGCCTTTTTCTCTGACAGGACTCAAGGAAGCTTACATATAAGAATAAGAACCTGTAACACCATAGGGGGAAAAACAATAATTAAATAGCAATTTAACACTGATATTACATACGTATAGTTTTACTTCTATTTAAAACCAAAGAAATAAATCTCCTGCCTCAGGAACAGGAGAAAACAAGCTTGATTCATCTTCCATGCGACAGCCCTTTAGTTATAGGAAGATGGCTATCGTATCTCCTCTCAGTCTACTCTCTTCCAGGCTAAGGATACCAAACTCTCTCAGTCGTTCCTCATAAGGCTTGTGGATGGAGCCCTCCCCCTTCTGTTCACCAAATATGCAGTGCTGCTGACAGGATGCTCGTTGGCAGAAGCCAGCAGAGGGTCCAAAATGTTGGATCCCAGTCCAGTCTCAAAATGTTGGGCTTGACTGCTGTGGTAGCTGAATCCAAGCGAATAAACAAGGTGAACATCATCTCAATGTGCCCTGTCACTTAGCAGCAAGAATACCCTATGGCTTGGGTGAAGAGGGGCCAGAATGTGAACTCTACTCACGGGATTTTTGCTAATCCCTTCTTAGCTCTGCAGCAGCCATGGCTTCTGAAAAACTGCTTTGGAGGGTTGGGAGACAACAGCTATCAAACAGGGTGGGAGCTGGTGCAAAGGGTGGGTAAATTGGACAGAAATCAACATCCCTTCCTCCAGCAGGAACCTCTGCCAGCTCTCTGCCAGTTCCTTTCGCAAAGGGAGCCTTTCCATTCTTGGAAGGGAAACTCTGGGTCCAACCTGTTTAAATTAATTAGGCTAACACTAGGTCTACACCAGGGGTAGTCAATCTTTTTATACCTGCCGCCCACTAATGCATCTTTCTTGATGGTAAAATTTCCTTACCGCCCACCAGTGCTCGATGGAAGGGGGATTCAGCTTGTGCCATAGAACCCCCTACTGCCCACCTAGAATCCTGAATCGCCCACTAGTGGGCGGTAGGGACCAGGCTGACAACCCCTGGTGTACACTATAATTTTGCAATTGGCAGACATGCACGCACGCGCATGCACACACACACACACACACACACACACACTCAATGACTACTTACATACCATTAATACTTACTGCACAAGCATTTAGAAGGTAAGCTAAAATAACACCCCATGGTATGAGAGCTTTCATGCACCTTATCCAAGTTCAGAATTTTGAAACGCTGGTTAATGGGTACTTTACCTTTTGCAACTTTTTGAAGGAAGCAGCTTTCATGTTTTCCGACAATTTGACTGAAAAATACTATTTGACTTGTTTAGGAAAGATTACATTAAATGCATGTCCAATTCTTTTCATATGGATGAAAAGTGCCTCAAGCAATGTTTGAGTCTTATTACAGCTTTTTTGTCATTTATATTAGAAAACAAAGACCTAGAATTCCCAAAGAGATTGAGAATGCACTATCCTCTTTTTCACTTTGGATTTCAGATATGATTGATACAGTGGTGCACACTGGCTTCAAAATGTACAAAGATGCTGCTATTGAACTTTAAAATGTGACAGAGGCAACAGTTGCCATCAGAACACTTTCATTTTAG